TAAAAAAAAACTGTATTACAAAAAGTGTTCGCATTTAAATTACACTAGCTAGCGTGCTAGTTAGTTTTTTAACTCACCATAATGAAAATTATCCATTTTTGCAATGCTACACACGTGTAAAAAGTGGCTTATATGGCAACACTGTGTTAGTGCTAAGCGCACGCTACCTGCATTTACATCATATCTTTAATGTATTAAAATTGTAACTAGACTACGTCTGTACATGGAAAATGAATGGAAAATTAAGAAAAATTGATGTGAGGGGTTTCAATAAGCGTAAAACAATATTTTTTTAATTTTTTTCTGTCTGTCTGAATGTATGTTTGTTCTGATATCACGCAGAAATTGCTCCACGAAATTTAATGTAAAGTGTTAACAGTTACATTAACTTAACAATTGGTATTGGTTTTATTTTTATATGGCAACACTGAGTGCTAAGCGCACGCTACCTGCATTTACATCATATCTTTAATATATTGAAATTGTAACTAGACTACGTCTGTACATGGAAAATATTTAAGAAAAATTTATGACAGGGGTCTTATTAAGCGCAAAACAATATTTTTTGGCAATGTTGTCTCTCTGTCTAACTGTATGTTTATTCTGATATCACGCAAAATAATTTTTGATACACACAAAATAACAAGCTACACAGTTAACTCTTATGTAATACTAACTTTTTAACTACTACTTCGTCCGCGTAGAGTTCTGATCTAGCTTAATTAATTAAATTTACCATTTCTAGAAGGCGTATCAAGATAAAACAAATACCAGTTTTTAAGTAAGACTTTCAGGAATAACATATAACTGTTAAAACTTTGTATTAAATTTCGTGGTGTACTTTTTACGAAATGTCAGAACAAACATACAGTCAGACAGAGATATAAAACTTCTGGAAATTATTGTTTTACGCTTATTAAGACCCCTCACAATATTTTTTCCATATACAGACGTCGTCTAGTTACAATTTTAAATATATTAGTAAGATATGATGTAAATGCAGATAGCGTTCGCTAAGGACTCGGTGTTGCCATATAAAAATAAAACCAATACCAATTGTTAACGTAATGTAACTGTTAACACTTTACATTAAATTTTGTGGAGATTACTCCTAATACACTCCTAATAATCCATAATACACGAACCCTGCCCAATACCCATGCAATGCCATTTATAAAGATTATGGTATTATGTTTCCGTGGCCAATATGGCCAGTGTTAATAATGTGACTATCTTCATTATTTCTATGGGGGCAAGTGGCTCAGAACCGTACTTTATGGTGAACTAAAGCCTACCTGTATGTATTACTAGCTACGTACCTTTAAAAGATATACATGTAATATAATGCATTTATAAATGTTATGAGCAAGGGTGGACTTAACTCTGACAGAGATCTCTTCCAGTCAAAAGATATATTTAATATGTATATTCTTTATTGCACTTGTAAATTACATGTAGTATAATGTATTTATAAAGTTATGACAACTATTAATACAGAGATAAACAAATATACAGTTAAATGATTATTAAAATATATAATAAAATATTACATAAATATATACACGATAAATAAATACCTACCTACTTATATATTAAATGTTTATATATATATTTTTTGATAGGTGAAAATGGTATGGTAACCCCGCCTGCGCTAACGGGATACGCTGGCGGAGCACCAGTGAAGGGTGATAGATGAGAATGAAAACAGGCCAGTTAGCGCATCATGATGAATTCATCAGGAATTAACCATGATAGTTTCCAGGGAGAACCGCGAGGAGGTCGACCTGTTTGGGTATATTGCTAGCAATGGGATTCTCAGTCTCCATTACTAATAATCCCTTTCCCCCCAAAATATATATATTAAAGATCATTATAAATAGTAGCCTATATTCTTCTACGTCTTACATAATTAGTTTGTATATACGTAATTTCATAGCGATTGGTTAAGCTGTTAAGGAGATATAAGAAAACAAAGGAACAAACACACTTATGCATTTATAATATTAGTAAAGAGTAGACAATATGTTGAATAGATACCGACGGCTCGATTTAGGAGAATTCGAACCCATATCTCTTTGCTGTCCTGGCCAAGTGTGTTCCCAGTTACATTATGCAAGCAATACTTATTTTATTTATATGTTTTTGTAAATTCACTTATAAAATAGAATACTTTGTTTTCTTAAGGTGCCCTTTTCAGGATAGCGATGTACTTTGTCCATCGCTATCCTGAAAACGGATCCGGTTCTCATTCCGAACCACTGCTTTAATTTTTTTAACCAGGAGGTTTGGTGTCTTCCCATTTTTCGCTAATCTTGGATCTTCCTTTATATTACAAGGAATATTATCGGTTGGTAAATTTTCAACCATAAATATTTCCCTAGAGACTGCAACATGGGGTTTTTCCAAAAAGGGCGTAAAAAGGTTTCTTATGCGATGTTGTAGGCGTCCACAGGTTACGGTAACTGTTTATCATAAGACGGGCTTCTAGTATATAGCAAAACGATGATATTGCAAATACTTATACTGTCTCGAGTGTACATGAGGGTACACAAGTAAAAAAATTAAGTAGCGGTCAGTATCGTGGTAGCGCTGCTCGAGGACAGACGTACCGGGGAGTGTGTGTGCACAACCGAGCCAGTAATAACAAGGTGAACAAACCTTAATTTTTATAAAAAACAAATATTATATACAACAGGGTTGTACGCTTGTTTGCTGCCATGTTAGTAAATAAACTTTTTTCAAATATCATCACGTCTGACGTAGTTTGTAATGTATGTTACAAATTTAAGATTCTCAAAAGCAAGATTATGTGATCTTACTAAAATTACATATATGAAAGTGAGTTTGTTTGTTACCTTCTAGCGCCTTAATAATTTAACCACCCACTATGAAATTTGGTATATACGTACTATAGGGGATAAAGAAGGACAAAGGCTATTTTATCCCGGTATCGCGTACGAAGTTACGGGTAATAGATACAATTTTTTTTATACAACTTATAATGTTGCCTAAAAAAAATTAAAATGACATACAAGCTGAGGGAAAGTGCTCACTGTCGCCTATAGACATAAGCACTACCATGGACATAACAGAGTATACTGTTTCGCCCATGATACCTCCCATGCGTTGCCATTCCTGAGGACTCAGGTGTTATTCCTCTGTACCCTGTAAATTCACGCCATATCTCACCCTTCAAACCGAAACAGACACGCAACAAATTGCAACATAACTACTTCACGGTTTAAAACACGAATGGAACAGAGGTGCCCAAGCAAACGACTTTTGTACAAAGTTTCCCTTTGGTATATTTTGAAAATTTCTTATATGTATATTTATTAGTAGATCATAGATTATATGAAAATAGTTATGATATTATGTAATCTCTGTATTAACTTTTAAAGTAATTTTAAAAGGAGGACATTCTCAATTCGTCTCTATATTTTAAGTGCATTACGTATATCTTCGCGAATTCTGATCCGATTTTAATGATTCAATTTGCAATCAGTTGAGTTCACTGTCAGTTGAGTTCTATATATATATATATATATATATATATAGAACTAAATAAATTGCCGAATATATGTATATACGAAAGAGCATCACTTTAGAACGGCTGCATTTTTGTCAGACCTTTTATGTTGCCGTACGAGGTTCGTGTGATAGAAAATGTTTGAAAAACCATACGGAAATAGACCTGGACAAAGACAGGATGGGTAACTATATCTGAATATACCATATTTAAGACATATTTTATTTACGAACAAACATAAGCAAAACTTGTGCATACATAATAGTACATAATACTTTAAAGCAAGCAATCTCTCTTAAAATCTCTCGAAAAATACTTTTAATTTCTTTATTTATTAAATTTTAATATACCTAGATAGTGTAAATGGCGAACTTAACATCATATGACGTTATCAACCAGTCGACCGTAGACAGGAATAACAAAAATTTATGGTGCAACATGACAAATAAATCTAAAAATAAAAACAATATATATATATATATATATATATATATATATATATATATATATATATATATATATATATATATATATATATATATATATATATATATATATATATATATATATATATATATATATATATATTACGATTACGATTCTAGAACACTAATATATAATAATATTATATAAAAACAAATATAAAAACTAAGTCGTATGTGATATCACGAAATTCATAATAGTACCTTATTAGGATGATATTAAATAAATAAGTGCCTATTATTAAAAAAATAAACTTAAAAATATTTCTACACAAAATATTTAAAAATGGTACGCGAACAGATTTCATAATAATGAATACATTTCCTAGAATAGAATAATAAATAATTCTTTTATAATTCACGAGAGAGAGATTAAAGAAAAAATGGAGTAGGCATTTGCTTATTAACAAAGCTTAATATTTTTTTACGAAAAAAATACACCTACCACCTACCAATTTATTAGATAGAATATTTTATTACAAAAGTATTGCTATAAGCTAAATTAAATACCTTCTCACTAACAAAGCCGATTACATTTTTTTTAAAAAAATTAAATAATTAATAAGCCTCTTATTGTAGTGAAGATTAAACCGTTAAGTAGGCAGTAACGACCTGTTTCTAATTTTAGTAGTAATGAAGCCTACTCAAGTTACCCTAACAACGGCCTAACAAAAACCGTTTAAAAACCTCATAGAATTTTACAACTATTGCAGCCTTGGCACGCAAAATTAATTAGTTTTATCAGCATATCACTACACACAATATAAGTCAAGTGCCTGAACAAATTAGTCACCATACATACCTACTTACATATGTATTTTTTCTATATGTAGTTCTAGTAGTTACATAAAACTTAAACACTCGTCTCTCACCGTCTCAGTTCTATTTTTAAACGCAAATCCGTGGTAAATCCAATTTGAAACGGATATGATACGAAAACAGACTAATTTGATTACGAAAATAACGTAATAAATAAAAAATAGACTCACCCTTAACTATTCCTTTGCAGTAAAAAAAAACTTTTTTTAATCTATAAACACTGAGGCATGTTCGATATTCAAAACGTTCGAATAGAAAATGTACACTTTTTAAATTTGGAATATTTACAATATTATTTACAGTTACTTGGGATATCCGCCGTTGTACTGGGGTATGGCGAAACGTCAGTTTGTCCGCATCGTTTGGCGCGTGCGCGGGGCAAAATGGCGGCGGGTCGATAGTTGGCCGTGATAAGCTATCTTTGAAGGCTACCCCCATGCTTGGTGACATTGTAGAAACGGGGTGCTGAAACGAGGTCACGGGTTCGTATTAGCCCGCGTTTCCGGATTCGGTGATGCCATGATAACTGTGAGTGTTGCCAGTATAAAAAATATTTTTGTTTTGTGACATAACATTAAAGAAATGTGTGTACCTGTTTACAATATGATAATTTATATACTATTATTAAGTATTAAATAAAAATATTGTTACATTTTAACCTAAATACATAAACCTGAGATAATCCTAATATAACCATACGGGTCTTGAAGGTCAGTGATTTTACTTTACGATAAACATGTACATAGATACTTATTTATTTTTAATAGAGGGCTCGAAATAGAAAAGCACATTAATAAAAACTATTGTCCACTTATGGAAAAAGAGACCCGTAATAATAACCCATAACGAATGGTTTTCAGTAACACGAAACGCTATACATTAATACCTGTAACATCAGAAGAATTGCTGGTGTGTTGCCAGTCTTTTATGAAAATGTTGGCCTACTCTTTTCTAGGAATTTTGAAGGTTTTTTTTTATACAACTTAGAATGGCAAACAAGCTGACGGTCCACCTGATGGAAAGTAGTAACCGTCGCCTATAGACATGAGCAGTACCATGGACATAACAGAGTATACTGTTTCGCCCATGATACCCCCATGCGTTGCCATTCCTGAGGACTCAGGTGTTATTCCTTTGTGCCCTGTAAATCCACGCCATATCCCACTCTTCAAACCGAAACACAGCTATGCAAACACAACTGCTTCACGGTTGAAACACGAATGTGACAGAAGTACCCAAGCAATCAACTTTTGTACAAAGTCTCCCTCTGATACACTGTTGGTTTTTTGTTAGTGAAAATGAAATGATTGTCCTTCTTGCATAGTACACTGTCTTCAGGCGGAGTTGTTCGTTTGATGTTGTTATTTTTTTTTAATGGATGATAATGGAATGGTAACTACCACCAGTGAGGGATGATAAGACAGGTCAGTTAGCACATCGTGATGAATACGTTAAAATAGTAGATCATAAAGGTCGCCAATCAGACGATGTCGTGAAGTTATATATAACAATTGCTGAATTTCTTTGTTGTACAACCCACTACGAATAATACTATAAATTGGTGACGTTAATTCTCACCTGACTTCAGCCCCAATATTCACTTATTAGAACAATAGCAACCGAGAAGAAGGGATAGCTTGTAATGCAGGATCCCATTACTACCAACATACACTGTCAGGTTGACTTCCACGCTGTTCCTTCCTGGAAACCATTGTGATTGGTTCATTGTTAAATTCGTCGCGATGGGTCGACTACGATCTGCTTTCACCCTCACCTGTCATCTCTCATTGGTGCCCCGCCAGTGTATACCGATAGCGCAGGCGGAGTTATCATTCCATTTTTATTCACAAAGAAAAATCTTACTTCCCAAGAATGGTAATGTATGAAGGATAGATACCTACTATGTAAGTCACAGTGCATTCTGTGTTACTCATGGTGCTGTTCAGCACATTCATGATGGTTTCCACTTTCCATCAGATGGGTCGTCAGTTTGTTTTATCATTATCATCATTTTAATCATTATCTGTCCACTGCTGGACATAGGCCTTCCCTACAGCCTGCCATAAGGAACGGTCTAACTGAGCCACCTGCATGCACTGACACCCTGCAATATTATTAAGGTCGCGCTCCATCTATTTGGGGGTCGTCCTACACTGGGTTAGCTTGTTTATAATTTGCAAAATGTATTGCAAATTACATAAAAAAACATTGATGATTAGGATGTTGCATTGGGAATGAAATACGGAAAGGTGTTAAAAATGTACTAAATTAAAATAATTTATTCGTCATCAGCATTGGAGTGTAAATATCGCACTTCGGGATCGTGTCGTGTGCGCCCGCGCAGCCTTGCAAGAGCAGCCAAACCGCGTGCTCCCCTTGATGCGTACATTATCCATCCAGCTCCGAAACAGCACAGGAGCACCGCTATAACTATCGTCCAAGTCCTTAATCCACTCCCTTCGTCTAAAAACATAACATTATTGTTGCAATAACAATGAATCCAACTCAGCTGAGCTGCATTCGGGAAACTATGCCATATTTTTTCCATCTAAAAATCACAAAGTTTAAAACCGACAGTCGTTCGAATGATGAGTTATGGAATTAAATGAAATTCATCTGAATCAACTGTTTTCGTTTTAGCTCACCTGTCCTTACTACCCTGTTGATCTAAATCTATTTAATGTCAAAAGACCTAAAAATGATCACGTAATTGGTAACTACAGAATGATCCGGCTATTCGTGTGAAGGCACCACCTCTGAAGCAAAAAGCACTTCAAAATTTTTTATTTCAAGGTGAAGTATTACTTGCCTGAGCTCTCAATGCTTGGTTTAGTCTTACTTAAGTACTAGATACTTACTTTTTCGTTTATTTTCAACTTTCATGGTGGGTGTAGCATTAATCTGTTTTCTAGTAGTAGTCTCAATATTGGTGGGTCGTTTTCTATTTGTCGTTGTAGGTTTTACTGTAGTTGTTAACACTTTTTTTGTTGTTGTAGTTGGTTTTACTATCGATGTGACTCTTTTAGTAGGTGTGGTAGTTTTCACTGTAGTTGTTTTTGTAGTTGTCGATTTAGATATTGGTGATCTAGACGGTATTACAACTTTTGTCGTTGTTTTAACAGTAGATGGAGTTACGCTTTCGTTTATTGTTTTCGTGCGTACCGTGGTGGTTACGGTGACAGTTGGTTTGAAGTCTTTGGTAGTTTTTGTTGATGCAATCGTTGGCGCTTCTGACGTCGTAGTCGAGACAAGTTTTTGTGTCTGTGGTAAATCCACAGAACTCGCTTTGTCTTCGTCCATAGGCGTTGAATCAGTGTCTGAAGAATTAAATATTTTTGACCAATTTATATACTTAAAAATAAATAAAATATAGGATAATTTTAAAACAGAATGAAAGTCTTTTTATGTATATACCTTTTGTACTACAAATTCTTTGTAATATAGTTAATAAAGAATAAATAAATAAAAATAAATATTAATAGGAATGGAATTTAAAAATATTAGATCTTAATAGCAAATATTCTTAACTATGCATTACTCTTATCGCCAACTTACAATCAACGAATTACAAAAGTGGAAAGTAAGAGATATAAATATGTTTAGACACTTCTCTAGACTCAATTGCTTTCACAACTCGTATTTTAGCTATAACTGAAATCTGGATTTTCAACTTCGTTTTTAAATAATATACGTACAAATCTATAATGAAAAGTCTATCTGAATCTTCCAACGTTGGTAGAGATATTTCAATAAAAACATTTTTATACTTACTGGCGGTAAAGATGCATATTTCAAAGAAATCAGCACAGCATCTACCACTGGAAACGCATGCTACCGTGCAGCCACAGCCTCGTTCCGGCTCAGTGTTCCCGAAGATGTTGCAACGACCGTCACAGGACTCAGCTGAAAAAAAAAGTAAATACGTATTATCAAAGATAAATTTCAAAAATTACTAACATAAGTGATAAAAATATCCTGATGTGACTTTATTAAAAAATTCTCAGAAATTTACTTACATAAAAACGTGGGTGGCGTTGGTACAACAGCTTTAGTGCAATTCTCACCCTGCATGATAGCCACGTCGTCGATCGCAATATCGCTCGTGTAACTTTTGCCTCGAATCCCTTCAATAACTATCTAGAAAACAAGAACATTTTCAATTTTCTTCTAATAGTAAAAGAAAAAAGTATAAATGTTAAAGCTTTAAGTTACTTAGTGAGCTATGGGAAGGGCTATTTTCAAAGTTTCTTTGCGTGATAGAATCCAAAATGAGGATATCCGCGGAAGAATCAACGTGACTGACATAGCGAGCGTTAGATCAAGAAAAGAACATGGATTTAAATGAAATGGGAATCCTTTCTGCACTACGACTCTGGTCAGATAAAGACAAAACTGTTGACCCATTATAACGAATTCACCGGGATTTAACCGCGATGGTTTCTAGAGAGACCTCATAGAGGTCGACTAATAGACTATATTTATGGTAATCAGATAAAAATAAAAGGAATTGTTGACAATGGAGCTTAATAGCCCTCTTGAATGAAATATACCCTGTCAGGTCCACATCCACGTGCATAAATAATCGTGGTAATTTTTTTTTTAATTCATCATTATGGGCTAAATGACCTGCTTGCATGCTTATTTATCATCTCTCACTGGTGCCCCATAGCATACCGATATCATAGACGGTCTATCATTCCATTTTTAACTACTTAAAAGAATTATCTGGCTGCTAGACGTTATTGCATATTAGGCCATGTGGTCTCGGCATAGACTAGGTCACCCATTCCTTTTCCGTGTCGTATGAGGCGACTAATGGAGGGCGAAGGATAAGCAGCAGCGTCCCTCTAAAAACATCTCTAAAGCCTAACTGCGGTTGCCAATCCGCCTGCTAAGCGAGGCAACTACTGGCAAAACCCCCCAAGGGGGAGGCTTATATTCAGCAGTGGACAGTTAAAAGCTGAACAGAAAAGATATTATTACTGAGAAATTGATAATGATCTTATCCCGCCATGTCAATCTGGACAGAGCTCCAGATTGGCTTGGCCAGGTGATCAGAGAATCTCGATAAATAAAATTGATGAATTGCTCTTCTCACATTGAGGAGGAACTTACCTGAAAATCATCAGCCAGGTCTTTCAAAGGAGATATAGATCCATACCACATGTCTCCCTGATTACCCCACTGTTCAAATAGTATGTACGTCTTCTTGGCCGACTCTGGTAGTCGTAAAAGTGATTCTAGAGCATAGTTGTCTGGTTTTTGGTACACCCTTAGACCTCCTGTATGTCTGAAAAACGTATTTACGTATTAAAGTGGCCTCGATGCAAAAAAAGTTTTATGCTGGTTCTTAGAATAATCATTTCGCTGTAATCTGATATTGATCTTTTTTTATTTTAGAGCTATAGATAAAGAATGATACTTAGAATCGACTCCATTGACAAATATCTATGAATTTCTACAACACAAATTCAATGTCAGACTTGGGTTATTTTTGACTAAGTGTTTATAAAGAGACACTGTCTAGACATCATTAACTTAGACTATACTATTAAAATATTAAAAGGAAAGTATGAGAAACTGTTTCATTCTTTTAAGTTTTGCTTTTTGTGAAATTACCTGTCTTTTACATGCAAATTATTGTAATACAGCTTTATGGCCACTGATTCGCACACGTAGAACTCAGATGTAGGTGAACCAATTAAATTGTCTACTTCTAGTTAGATCTAGGTTGTTAGGTATAGGTTAGATCTTAAGGAACACAACTGTGAAAACCGCATCCAATTTGGTGCAGTAGTTTTTTTTTATTACAAGTGTTTTTACCTTCTAGAGGTACATCAACCTTATAGTACCGTGAACTGATTTCTCAAATAAAGTATTATCCATTGTCCCTAGTCACGGAAATAGAAGAATTAATGGGTATCAATAGCTAACGGGATACGCTGGCGGAGCACTAGTGAAGGGTGATAGATGAGAATGACAACAGGCCAGTTAGCCCATCATGACGAATTCATCAGGAAATAACCATGATAGTTTTCAGGGAGAACTGCGAGGAGGTCGACCTGGTTGAGTATATTGCTTCTCAATAAGATTCTCAGTCTCCATTACTAACAATCACTTTCCCCTCGAAAAATTCTGATTTGCGTTTCAGCTAATATAGATTAAATAAGACCAATATTTAATTTATCTAAACAAACATACAGAGACACAGACAAGATTTCTAAATATCATTGTTTTGGCTTCTATTTTTTTTATTAAAACACTTCATATCAAATTTTCTTTAATATCTACCATGATTGAAACAGTATACTCTGTTATGTCCATGGTACCGCTCATGTCTATAGGTGACGGTTACTACATTCCATCAGGTGGGCCGTCAGCTTGTTTGCCATCCTCAGTTACATAAAAAAATGTGCAGACATCGTTCAGTTATAATTTTATTATAATAGTAAAATTAAGCTTCTGAACATTGATGCGATTATAAACTAAGCAAGGGTTACTGAAGTTTGCAAAAGTGAACCATGATTAAATAATTACATTGTACCCAGAGTTATTACTGTATTAAGTAGAAGATATACGAAATATTCTATTTAACGCAGTGTAAAGATTGTTATACCTCAAATATGGTTAACAAAAGATGGGATTTAACGTGATTATTTAGATAAACTATGATAATAATTTAACTTCACTGCAATGTCTTTTGTACCACATTTTATTAGTCAATGAAGTGTTTATTTAAATAAATATATTATATATTGATGTAAAAATTGTTTTATCTATTACAAAATCAGTTTGGAGGTGACAATAGTTAGCTAACGTTTCATACAAAATGTTACTCTGGACTCTCTCTCTCTCCTATGAGCATAGTTGAAACCATATTATGCCATTAATTACTTACCAGAGGGAGACTTTGTACAAAAGTCGATTGCTTGGGTACCTCTGTCCCATTCGTGTTTTTACCGTGAAGCAGTTGTGTTTGCATGGCTGTGTTTCGGTTTGAAGGGTGGGATATGGCGTGAATTTACTGGGTACAGAGGAATAAATAGGAGGGGGTATCATGGGCGAAACAGTATACTCTGTTATGTCCATGGTACTGCTCATGTCTATAGGCGACGATTACCATTTTTCATCAGGTGCGCCGTTAGCTTGTTTGCCATTCTAAGTTGTATGAAACAAAAAAAAATTAATTACTTACTTCCCAAACATGTGATAAAAGAATGAAAAGCAGCCATCCTTAGTCAGCTCCTTCCTGTAAACAGGTGATATAAGGCGAGCCGTATCGTTTTCCATTCTTGACGTACTCTCAATGTACATGTAGTAACCTAAAATATAAAATTACACAGTTATTGTTAAATAATTGTTTATTTATTTATTATAATGCATTTATCTATATAATAGAGTTGTTACAATGTTCTTATTTAAAGTATATTTGTTTTGGTGTAGCAAAATTTTATTAATATACATGTATTATTAATTATTGTAAAATATACAAATATACATTTTAATTCTTTAAATTAGTTTTAGTATTCATTAATAGAGTATCAAAACTTATTTTCTCTATCTACACTACAAGGTATGTATGTCCATACCTATTGTTATATAATGCCATTTATACACATACAGGTTTTTCTTTTTTAACTTTTTTATGAATATTAATTTTCTTTTTAATTATTGGCACCTAGTATAATTTATATTATTTTTAGAGACCCTTTTCCAAAAAATATTGTTTTGGCATTTATTGGTCTTTTTAAAATCTCTCATATTATATTATTTTAGTAAGATGTTACCTGATGCTCCTTTTCCAAGAGTATGATCGTATGATGGACCAGTCAGTAAGAATGCGCTCGGTGTTTCCAAATTCAACCTTTTCCAATCGAAATCGTGCAGTTCATCATTCTTCCATCCGCAAAGATCTTCTTTTTCAAAATCACAACTCAGTTTGTTCGAAGCATTTGTGTCTGAGACAGAATTTTTCATTAATCTTACATGTAAGAAATCTAGAAATTATTTATTTCACTAATACGGGTTAATTTATCCCTTCCCCGTAGGCTGCTATAAGGAACAGTCCCAAACCACCTGAATCCAATAAGTCCTTTCAATGTATTTGAAAAGCCATGCAATCACAAATACTTTACGGCAGAAATACGATTGGGACAAAAGTGTCCAAGCAGACTTATACCTTATAATGTTAAGTTGGTAATTTATTTTTATTATTTTTATAGCACGGTATGTGACCACACTATCTTACACAGAGACAGGATAGCCCATCAATACGATCAACCGAAAAAAGAGAACGATTTCCTCCTAACGGTTGACCGCATTATGCCGGAACACTATTACTTAAAAAATTGTATAATTGTAGTTACCAACACATTTAGGAGCGGTCCCATTCCACATTTTCCCATCGCAGTACATAGCCGAAGGTCCGACTAGATCATATCCAGGCAAACAGAAAAAGGTCAGCCAAGCGTCGCTATGTCTTGACAACTGTAGAGAGTGGTCCACGTTCGGGAGAGGGCAGCCGGGTTCTGAAGTATTATAAAGTTTATGCAGAATTAAGTCAAAATCTGGTGAATCTGAATGCTGGGCTGATGAAGCAGTTTTCACCAAAGCAATATTTGTTGAAAATTGATAAAAAAAAATTTTGAGCCATGGCGATAATTAGGTAAACTTTTGTAAATTTTGGTATTGTACTTATTTTTTATGGCCGTGTGATCCCGGCATGACTGTGTAGTCCCAGTATAGAATAGACCAACCCCTTCCATTCCCGAGGGTGTCGCAGAAGCCGTCTTAAAGAAAGCGGGGGATGAGCAGCAGCGTCCCTCTTAAAACATCTCTAAAGCCTAACTGCGGTTGGCAATCCGCCCGCCAAGCTTGGTAACTACCATTAAATTCCTTTTGTCGACACCCACGGGAAAGGGAAGGGTGACCCATTCAATGCTGGGACTACACAGCAATTTTTTATGTTTGTCACCGCATAACTCTCTCATTTATAAACTGATTTGGGAAATTCTAATATTTTTTTTATCTGAAAGGATATACTTTCAGATTGATCTCACAGAAATGTTATCAAAATCTGTTCAGTAATTTACTTTTTATATCAAAATAACTAGTTTTGCCATTTTGAATGAATTAGATTTTTTGTGCAACACAATCTTAAATTGAAAGTAATAATTTTTTTTTAAATTCGTTAAATTTGTTATTTTATATTGATTTGTACTTACTAACGCAAACAGGCCAGGGCACGTCCCATTCACCGTTCCTGCAGGTGGCGTACCTGTTGCCAACCAGTATGTACCGAGGGTAACACATGAATCTGTACAGTCTGTACCTTTGCCTCATGCGTACTTTACCGTGTTCGAGCCGATAGAAAGGACACGGGCCCGCTGAGTCGTAGCTGTCAAAGTCTGCGGACAATATTTATTTATATATGATACACCAAAAATATATACCAATTTACATACATACGTATCTGTCACACTTGTCTCCCATTAGGGTAGGCAGAAACAATGGAATGCCAAATGCTTCGATTCAAACAGATCTCTTTCGCTTCTTCCACATTCATCAATCTTTTCATACACGCTCGCCGGTTACGGGTACTTTAAATTTGGCCCTTCTTCAGTACGTCCCCTATTTTTTTTTATTGGGTGAAAATGGAATGGTAGTCCCGCCCGCGCTATGAGGCACCAGTGAGGAATGATAGGTGAAGATGAAACACGTCAGTTAGCCTATCGTGATGAATTCATAAAAAATAATCACGATGGTTTCCAGGATAAACTGCGTGGAGGTCGACCTGCCAGGGTATATTGCTAGTAATAAGTCTGCTGGATCTCATTACTAACAATTCCTGTCCCCCCCAGTACGTCGTCTATTTGGTCAATATACGTCCGTCTAGCGCAGCCCCTACCGACATCTCCATTTATTCGTACTCGATAAATCTCTTTCGTAATACTTCTTTCATCCATCCTCTCCAAATGGCCAAACCAACACAATGTTGCGTTGGATGCCCTTTTCAATTTTTGTCACTACACTGACTTTTAGTCCATACTTCTCTCTAATCACATTGTTTCTTACTCTATCTTTTAATATTATACTACACATACTTCTCAGAGCTCTTATCTCTATAGCATTTATCCTACTTTACCATTTACACCTACATAGCTCAAAGGATAAGTATGCTGAAGTAGCAATGGGCTGATCACATAGCTTGAAGAACCGACAACCGATGGGGAACAAAGGTTCTTAAGTGACGATTCTCCAATTCCCTTTTCCCCAATCCAATCCCCAAGGAAAATTTTTAATATCATCATAATGTAAATGAAATGGTAACCAGTAAATGGAATGGTAACCTATTTAAAGATCGTAGAGGATGAAGTCAAGTCAGTCGGGCTATCATGACGATTTGATATCCACATAAAGTTTGACTTAATAAGGCAATGACGCCCCTAATCGTCACACACAATCCCTCATTTTTCACATTTGTGAATCTTTCAATCCATATTTATTGAAAAACATCCACAACCGATACGTTATCCTCGAATTCCGGATGTCCGCGAATGAGCAATAAAGAGATAATATCAATCAAAACATTTTTACAGCGTGCGTTAGGTATCTATTAGTATATATCGACAGACAATGGGCAAGACTCATCATAGCAAAGTTACTATGATAAGATCCTTGCCAGTAAGAGGCAGGAATTCTATTCTTGAATCGATTTTATGAATCATCTACTCAATAGACTTCAAAAAGAAGAAAGAAGTACTCAATTAGGTTGTACTTTTTTATGTTTATTACCTCATAACTCCGTCAGTTGTAAATTGATTTGGACAATCCTTTTTATATCACACACTCTAGCAACTATTGTTATGATATACTATAGTGTATTTTTTTATTTTTATTTCATTTTAAATTTTATAATTACTCTAGCCACGACAAATTTATATCGCTAAGTCAGTGAAAACCTGTTATTGGCTTTTTATATGGATAAGATGTTATTGTTTTAAGCTATAAATTAGAAGCTGTTGGTTTTCCAATAAATAAATAAATAAATAAATAAATATCTAAAAGGATATACTTACAAATTGATTCCAACAAGAAGTTTTATCAAAAATTGCTTTGGTACCTTACTTTCTAAATCGAAATACGAATAACTAGTTTTATTACAAATAAAGTAGATTTTTTGTTGTATTTTTTTTATACAACTTAGAATGGCTAACAAGCTGACGGCCCACCTGATGGAAAGTGGTAACCGTCGCCTATAGACATGAGCAGTACCATGCACATAACAGAGTATACTGTTTCGCCCATGATACCCCCCATGCGTTGCCATTCCTGAGAACTCAGGTGTTATTCCTCTGTACCCTGTAAATTCACGCCATATCCCACCCTTCAAACTGAAACACAGCCATGCAAACACAACTGCTTCATAGTAAAAATGGGACAGAGGTACTCAAGCAATCGACTTTTGTACAGTCTTCGTATTTTTAAATCGTGTGTTCAGATTGAGAACTGTTTATTTCATTATTATGTATTTTTAAAACTTATGTACTTTTTTTAACATTGTCTATATATATATATATAATATACATTCACAACGGGATTTTTATGGATTTACTATGTTTGTTGTTTCCAACCATTGTTTCGACTTCATCCGGAAATATGTTCATAAAGTTTCCGGTGTGCATGTTATATATACAGACATATATTTCATTGTAAATAATTATTTTTACTGTATAGTTCTTTAATGTACACAGGCGAATTTACCATTCAAAAAATATCACTCATAAAAATTTAGAATCCATGGATCACTTAATATGCAACCGCCGTTTATTGGCGCACGCGCATGAGTCTATCGGAAAACAAAACACTATCCAATTTAACAAAAAGAATTTTTAAAATAAAAAATCTTAGTACAGTAATCACGATTTTTTATAACCATAGATGGTTTTACCAACCGACTTCAAAAAGAAGGGAGTTATCAGTTCGATTGTATTTATTTACGTTTGTAGGTACTATTTACCTGTAAAAGCTTTTTCATCGCTTAAAACCCTGATTGTGTATTTAAAAATACGTGTATGCGTAAACAATGCGAAAGTTTAAAATTAATTTATTTTTGTTCTTATTCGTGTTTCTACCGTGAAGCAGTTGTGTTTGCATGGCTGTGTTTCGGTTTGAAGGGTGAGATATGGCTGTGAATTTACTGGGTACAGGGGAATAACACCTGAGTCCTCAGGAATGACAACGCACGGGGGTATCATGGGCGAAACAGTATACTCTGTTAAGTCTATGGTACTGCTTATGTTTATTGGCGACAGTTACCACTTTCCATCAACTGGGCTGTCAGCTTGTTTGCCATTCTAAGTTGTATAAAAAATATATATTTTTTTATTTTATTCTATTCTAGATGGTGTTTTTTTTTATAAACATTCCCGTCCTACGCCGCACACAGCGGAAGTTCAAGATGAGTACGAATAACCGAGAGTAACATCCGTTTGATAAAATTACATAAATATTTATAATGTTACGCTCATTCGTGTCAGGCAATAGGATGGGATTATAGCCCCCCCCCCCCCCATTGTTAATAACGAAGAATATATCCCCATTGCTAGCTCTTAGTGGATGATAATGGAATGGTAACCCCGCCTGCGCCCGCCCAATCCCTCTTTAGCAATGTGGCGGGCATTGCTGACTGGACAGCATCACACCCTGGCAGGTCGACTTCTTCGCGGTGCTCCTGGAAACCATTGTGTTCTAATCCAGGTGAATTTATCACGATGGACTAACTTTTTTTTTATAAAACTAAGAATGGCAAACAAGCTAACAATCCACCTGATGGAAAGTGGTCGTCGCCTCATGAGCAGTACCATGGACATAACAGAGTATACTGTTTCGCCCATGATACCCCCATGCGTTGCCATTTCTGAGGACTCAGGTGTTATTCTTCTGTACCCAGTAAATTCACGCCATATCCAACCCTTCAAACCGAAACACAGCCATGCAAACACAACTGCTTCGCGCTTGAAACACGAATGGGACAGAGGTACCCAAGCAATCGACTTTTGTACAAAGTCTCCCTCTGGTAACTGACCTGTCTGTTATCACCTTTCAAGAAGTTCTATCTTATTTCCACGGCATACTTGACTAGAAACTCTGTCGGTACGTATAGCTGAGAGATGGAGGTTCGAATCCTAAAGGATCGAAGCCATCTGGAGATTAAATTTAGGTGAGGACGAAGCAGATCAGTTGGTCCATCGTGATGAATTCAACACTAAATCAATTGCGGTGGTATCCAGGGAGAACCATGTGAAGAACTTTAATGGGTAAAAAAGGAATGGTAACCCCGCCTGCGCTATCGGTATATACTGGCGGGTTGGTGACCCGCGAGAGAATAAAGGTGAAGATGAAAGCAGGTCAGCTAGCCCATAGTGATGAATTCCACTAGAATTAACCATCATGGTTATCATGAATTTACCAGAGGGAGACTTTGTACAAAAGTCGATTGCTTGAGTACCTCTGTCCCATTCGTGTTTCTACCGTGAAGCAGTTGTGTTTGCATGGCTGTGTTTCGGTTTGAAGCGTGGGATATGGCGTGAATTTACAGAGTACAGAAAATAACATCTGAGTCCTTAAGAATGGCAACGCATGGGGGGTATCATGGGCGAAATAGTATACTCTGTTATGTCCGTGGTACTGCTCATGTCTACCTTTATATCTGGCGACGGTTACCATTTTCCATCAGGTGGGTCGTCAGCTTGTTTGTCATTCAAAATTGTATAAAAAAAATGGTTTCCAGGGTAAACCGCGTAGAGGTTGACCTAATACGGTATGTTGCCAGCGATACGACTTTTAGAGTGCATTATTAACAATCCCTTTCCCTTTGATTATTTAAATAAATAAATAAAACATTGAAAAATGTTTAATTTTTTGTTTTTTGGAAATCGAAAACGAATTGCGGCGTCGTCACAATTTATTCGGTTCGGTTTTCGATTCAGTAAGCTGAAGTATTTATTTCTGCCGAGGTTTTCCCAAGAGCCTACAGCATGGGGTTCTTCAAAAGGAGGGTAAAGAGGTTTCTTCAGGGTCGGCAACGCGCGCGTAATACCTCTAGTATTGCAGGTGTTCATAGGCTACGGTAACCACTTACCATCAGGTGCGTCGTATGCTTGTTTGCCACCTCAGGTATAAAAAAAGGGGTGGGTAATATATAGCAATATCTATACATTTTAGTTACAATATCTATGAATTTACTGGTCCAATAACGAATATGTTAAAAGTCTGTTCTCCAAAAACGAATATCGGGTAACAGACTTTTAATATATTCAAAAATAGATATCCGACCGATATGGACGATATCGCAATGGGTGATGACCGTTTATTCCGCCATTTATGTCCACAGGTACCCAATATATAGATATCGGAACGGTATCCATATTACCAATACATACTATTTTGATACTGGGGTCGATTCTGAGGCGGCATTTCCCTTTAATTAAAATGTCAATTTCATACTATGAACTAATTTTCTAATAAATTTTAGTCGGGGAGGGGGAAGGGATTGTTAGTAATGGGGTCTAATTCTCCCATTATACATCCTATTAGGTCGACCTCCACGCGGTTGCACCTGGAAACCGTCGTGGTTAATTCTAGTGGAATTCGTCACGACGGGCTAACTGATCTGCCTTTTCATCTTCATCTGTCATCCTTCACTGGTGCCCCGTTAGCGTATCCCGATAGCGAAAGCTGGGATACCATTATCACCCATAAAAAAATAGATTTAAGTCAAATTTATTGTATATTTAATTTATGTAATATTTATTTATAAAACAGTAATTTCCTGATATTATCAAATCAAAATTTATTTATTTATAAGCTTTTGTATATTCACTTATAATATAGATATTAGGTTATAACAAAAATGTGCACAGGCGGACTTATCCCTTAAAGGGATTTCAGTCACTCGTGAGAACCAGAAAGGAGAAAGTATCAATAGGGTTTGTATGTAAAATATAACATATATAGTGCAAAAATAATACGATAAATAATAAATTATAATATTAATAGCTATATAGTTAGTAACAGAGCATATATAATAAATATATTTATAAAATATTAGGTAAAGACGTAAGTTCAGAGAAATGCTGCCTTAGAATCGGCCCTACTGGCCACGAAGCAAATGCTGTTGTTGTATTAGCCAATTATTGTATACTGCTGAAGCCTCCCCCATAAGGGGGGGTTTCGCCAGTAGTTGCCACGCTTGGCAGGCGGGTTGGCAACCGCATTTACACTTTTTATGATGTTATAAGAAGGATGCTGCTGCCAATCCCTCAATCATAGGTTCGCTTAGTCGCCTCTTACGATATTCAAAGGAAAGGAAGGGGTGGCCTATTCTATGCCGGGACCACACTGCTAAATTCTGAAAGTGCTGTTTTATTATTTCACCTATTAACTATCCACTGCTGAACATAAGCCTTTCCACTAACGGGAGTTTTGCCAGTAGTTGCCACGCCTGGCAGGCGGGTTGGCAACCGCAGTTTAGTTTTTGATAATGTTTTAAGAGGGACGCTGCTGCCCATCCTTCGCCTTCCCTTAGTCGTCTCTCACGACACCCACGGGAAAGGAAGGGTTGGCCTATTCTTATTCTATTTTAGTAAATAAAAACCACATTATTGATAATTTTGATAATTATACCACAAACACACACAACGATAGATTTCTCACCATTTGATAATATTTGACTAGTTTTTGCATTGTTGTTATTAACTATACTTTACGTACTAACTACAGTTTATTTGCGCCTAGCGGCCCGTCCCGGCTTCACACGGGTGGACATTTTTACAACGTTTTACATTTTTATCTGATCCTATCTTATTTTACATATATATATATATATATATATATATATATATATATATATATATATATATATATATATATATAGAAGTATGAATAACATTACGGTAACGGTTAAAATTCGGTATTTCTATCAACTTTTAAAATGTAAAAAGTGGTTATTGTAACATAACGATAATAATTGGACATATAGTATCGCAAATTTTTTTAATAGTTATTGATATTTTCTTCAATATTGTAGAACATACTTTTGTTCTATCACCAATAGTTTCCGCAGCGCAAGCGACGAAAGATATTTTATAGCATTTTTTTACACCTTGATCTCTAATCTTTTCTAGCAATAAATATGTTACTCAGGGTGAATGTAGCTTTCTGATGGTGAAAGAATTTTTGAAATCAGCAAAGTAGTTTTTGAGTTTATTCATTACAAACATACATACACACAAAAATACAAATCTTTCCTCTTTATATTATTATTCATATTGTAGGCATATAGTGGATTATATTTTATGAACATATTATAACTTGTTACCTTAAGTAGGTACTTATGGTAACATAATAAGTATACTAATAAAAATGTAAAAATGTAGTTATATATATATATATATATATATATATATATATATATTTTATAAAATATGTATTAATGTGATTGCTGTGCCCTTCCAGGGTTCATGTTGATTCTTTACCTTTAATAACTTAAGACATATATTGTTACAATATGAAATAACAATAAATGATTGAATTAAATTGAATTAAATAAGTCATAGTATTACTTTACACATCCTATATAATTTAATTTAATAATTAAACAGATTCACAAAACATATTTAAGTAGTTAATGCTTTATAGTTTTTAAGGTTTTGCCATTTCTTTGATAATTAAAAATGGATTTTTAATATATATATATAATATATATATATATATATATATATATATATATATATATATATTAAAAATCTATTTTACTAAATTCGATAATTCTTAACCGAATTACATGTAAATTAAAAGCATAGTTATTACATTAAAAAATAATGTGTGTTAACGTAATTTTTAACAATAAAATTTATTAAAACGATTCATTTTCAGAATAAAGTGGAGTTTTTTTTTCTTTCTAAAATAAATAATTTACTGAAAACTTACCAGCACTTATAACAGTGAAAACGGTAACCAATAATAAACACTTAATAAACATTATGTATAAACACCAAACTCCTAAATAAATACTTATTTAAATATATTAACTTGTTAAAGTTTAATTTCATTTAATTTTATATTTGGATGTGCACTGGTCACTGTGGGAAGTACATTTTAAATAGTAATTTATTACTTTTACGAACTTTGTTTGACGTCAAAGAATATTGTAGTAGAAGGCTCTTGTGCGTTCGTTTAGTTTTTGCCTATTCGATCTATTCGGCTACTTTTGTCCTATTCAGCCGAATACCGAATATCTATAAATTAATCAAATACCAAATGGCCGTGTTTTTTATTTATTTTTTAATGGGTTATATGTGGAATAGTAAATGGAATGGTAGCCTCGCCTACGCTATCGTTATACGCTGGTGGGGTACCAATAAGGGATGATAGGTGATGATGAAAGCAGGTCAGTTTGGACATCGTGATGAATACCAATAGAATTAACGACGATGATTTCCAAAGGGGACCGCGTGGGAGTCGACCTATTAGGATGTATTGCTGGTTATGGGTCTGTTAGACCCCATTACTAGCAATCCCTTTACGGGGGGTAAAGGCCAAATGGCTGTGCGGTCTCAGCATAGAATAGGCCACCTCTTCTCTTCCGGTGGGTGTTGTAAGAGCTGACTAAGGGAAAGCAAAGCATCTCTCTTAAAACATCTCTAAAGCCTAATTGCGGTTGTCAATCTGTCTGCCAAACGTGGCAACTATTGGTAAAACCTTATATTCAGCAGTGGACAGTTAAAGGCTAATATGATGATGATGATGAACCAAATACTGAATACTTAAATAATATATTTTGTTGCAAATAGATAATTTGTAAAATGAAAATATTGATCTATTAAGTTATAAGTACGTAATCAAATTTTGTATTATAAAAATAAAAAAAAGAAAGTATGGAACAAATGAAATGTCTTTGCTTTTGAATTATTGCAATAAGTCCAACTTCTAAATTTTATTGTGCAGAAAGACTTTTAAATGTTAAGGTCATAAAAACATTTGATTTATTAAAATTTCATTCACCTTAATGATATTGAATTTTTTTTATTTCAATGGATGAAAATGGAATGGTAACCCCGCCTGCGCTATCGGTATAGGCTGGCGGGGCACCAGTGAGAGGTGATAGGTGAAGGTGAAACCAGGTCAGTTAGCCATCATGAAGAATTCCGTGAGAATTAACCACGGTGGTTTCCAAGGGGAACCGCGTGGAGGTCGACCTGATAGGGTATGTTGCTAGCAATGGAACTTCTAGATCCCATTACTAACAATCCCTTTCCCTCTAATGATATTGAGTTAATAGGTACAAGTTTTGTCGTTACGCGTCAGTCATATACTTTTACAGTTATATATTCGGTTATTCAGCCAAGATTCCTGCAGAATAATCGTTATTCGATGCACTCGAGCCATCTGTACCGTTTATTCTTTGCCCCAAACGGGATGCACGGCTATCAGAGGAAACTGATATTCCACTGAATACTATCAACTACTCACAATAGGTATTTTTAACAAACGATTACAATGAGCTTAACATTATCTTATCTAGAACTGAACTCTAAATATTTAACTAGTACCATGAATCATGGAATCATATTGTTTTGCTAAAAAGATACAATGGGGTCAATTGGGGGGAAAGGGATTGTTAGTAATGGAGATTGAGAATCCTATTGCTAGCAATATACCCAACCAGGTCGACCTCCTCGTGGTTCCCCCTGGAAACTATCATGGTTAATTCCTGATGAATTCATCATGATGGGCTAACTGGCCTATTTTCATTCTCATCTATCACCCTTCACTGGTGCTCCGCCAACATATCCCGTTAGCGCAGGCGGGGTTACCATACCATTTTCACCCATCAAAAAAAATGGGTCAATTTTGCATTGTCCCTCTCGAGAAATCTTTTATAATGAATTATAATTAAGTTTTGTAAAATGGAATGGTAACCCCGCCTATGCTATCGGTATATACTGGAGGGGTACCAGGTGAGGATGAAAAGGCAAGTCAGTTAGCCAATCGTGACGAATTCAACGATAAATTAATCACGATAATTTCCAGGGGGAACCGTGTGGAGGTCTACCTGATAGTTAGTCGCCATTGCTATCAATATGGGTATATTGATAGCAATGGGGACTAACTTCCCCATTACTAACATAAATAGGTTAGTTGTCCTATATCACGTTGATTAATTCATTAAACTTAACCACGATGGTTTCCAGGGGGAACCAAATCCTAGTGAATTCGCCACGATGGGCTAACGGAGCTTTTTATTTATATACACACAGGGGCAAACGCGCATGCGGCTCACCTGATGGTTAATAGATGATTATAACCACCATACCATAAAAAAACCATTGCACATCTGTGTTCGCCTGTAAACTATCGGAGAGGCCACCATCTTCAGGTTTTCTTAATGGATGATAATGGAATGACAACTCCGCCTGCGCTAACGGTATACACTGGCGGAGCACCAGTGAGGGATGATAGGTGAGAAAGAAAAAGCAGGTTATATAGGCCATCGTGATTAATACGTCTGCGATTCAGCACGATGGTTTACAGGAGGCATCACGTGGAGATCGACCTGACAGGATATATTGCTAGCAATGGGACTGGTAGTCCGCATTACTAACAATCCCTTCCCCCTATTATTACCAGGTTACTTCATTTTACCTTAAGGTAAATGCATCACAAAATAATATACATTTTTTTTAGTAACGTTCTTTAATATTTACATATAATCATCACAACATTATAAGAAATATACAGTGAAGCCTTCTTCGGTCAAAGCGATATTATCTTATGTAGTAGCCCTTTTTTTTAAGTTCGCTGCTAACACCTATCAGTGATAAGAATTTTAAGAAGTTTCTTGTAGCGTTAATTTCTATCTCTTCAGGATATAAAGTGTATTTTTTAAAGGACATATATCGTGTGGGCTACAGCCACAAATTAAGTGCGGCGGCGTTTCTTCCCCATTGCCAAAATCTACACACACATTTTGGGCATAACCCTAGTTGGGCCATGTACTTATTTAATTAACAGTATACAGTCAAAACCCTTGTTAATACAAACATAGTATTTTTACTCAAAAGAATTTTTAGAATAATTTTCAGAAAACCTCTTAATCAGAGATTTAGAGTATGTAATTTAATCCTGACAATAGGAACCACCTGTTATTTGCTGTTTTTAAGCTTTGAAGTTCTGAGCTTTAGGCTTCGAGGCATACCACAGTAAGGTTCTAGTCCTACTTGGGCAATTTTTGCTAATTGATCAGCTGTTTCATTACCATGAATGGGGGTAATCCTTAGTCCTTGTATATTCTATAGCATGGTAAGATTTTTAGTCTTATGTAAAAATAAAAATTACTTTATTTCATTAAACAATGTTAGTATATGATAGAATATTGACATCTACGCTGTTTATTTTTTTAAGAGACAGGATCAACCCATTCCCGATATAGCCCATCCCTCCTAATAACAAGTGTCATTCCATCCGTGTCATCTCACTGTCAATTAATCTATAATTCACCTCCCAATCTTGCCTGACTTTCTGTCTTTGCCACCACAATTGCCTCAGATTGTAAAACGACCACATAGCAAACACGAACAAAACTGCCGCCATTAAAACGAAAACAAACGTCATAAAGATGCTAACGCCATCTGTAAATAAACAAAAATATAAATGCTTAGGTCTATAATCCGTAATGACACCACGCCGGCATACACAGACCACCAGTATATGCCGGCTGAAGAACCCAGCGACCCGGAGGTCGTCGCCTCCGGAGTTGAAGCCGGGGTAGAGGGGTTATACCCCGAGGTCCCTACCTCGCCCGCCCACGCAACATCTGGCGGGCATGAGAAGTCCCTGTTGATTGATTGGTCCATAATGAATACTTAGTTTTATTTTTTTGGTGGGTGAAAATGGTGTGGTAACCCCGCCTGCGCTAACGAGATAAGCTGGCGGAGCACCAGTAAAGGGTGATAGATGAGAATGAAAACAGGCCAGTTAGCCTATCATGATGAATTCATCAGGAATTAACCATGATAGTTTCCAGGGAGAACCGCGAGGAGATGGTTGGGTATATTGCTAGCAATGGGATTCCCAGTCTCCATTACTAACCATCTCTTTCCCCCTGAATACTTAGTTGGAGGCATTATTATTGATCATAATAGAATGGTCACATCACCTGCGCTAACGCTATACGCTGGCAGTAAATCAGTAGGCGAGAAAGAAAGCAGCAGGTTACGACATTCCATTAGTTGGATTGACGGTTTGTTTATCACTTTAAGCTTTTTTTTATACAACTTAAAATAGCAAACAAGCTGACGGCCCACCTGATGGAAAGTAGTAACGGTCGCCTATAGACATGAGCAGTACCATGAACATAACAGAGTATACTGTTTCATCCATAATACCCCCCATGCTTGCCGTTCCTGAGGACTCTAGTGTTATTCCTCTGTACCCTGTAAATTCATTGCCATACTTATGGGAATAAGTGATACTTAGTAATTTACTTCCGTGCCTACTTATATATAATCCTACTTAAGATAATCTAAGTTGAATGCTATTCCTCCAATTATTTATTCTCTATATCCAGTCTTCGCAAAGGATCATTGTAAGTTCTATAAATAGCATACACTTTCTCCTCGATAAATATCTTAACACACTGTCGAATTGTCGCAATAACTCACTGTAAAACAATGTCACTCACCTCCCACCTAAAAAGGTATAAATACGGCAACACAGTCTAAAATTCGTTATTCGCACTTTGAACGCCGAACGGTTAACACACTGAGTAGCGATCTTATAATTTTTCTGAAGATATCACGTTTAGAGATGAATGATAAACGCAAAACGTGCTCGAACAAAGTCGCAGTCGCAGATTGATGACTAATATGGAAGCTTACATTATACGTCCAGCACTGGACGAATAAATGCTAAAATGATGATGATGGAACTGCTGGTAGTAATAGTGGTGGTCAATCTTCGAGTGTTGCCAGTCACACACATACTAATGGTAGCGGAATTAAACAAAATAGTTCTAATCGAATAACTAGCTTGCTTTTCCATCGGCAGAATGAAATTGAAATCCTTGACGTTCTTTTAATTTGAAAACTGGACACGCTCTAAGTGTTTTTCTAACTGTGGGTCAGTACCTCTGGAGGGTCCCTAAACTTCTACATAGGGGTCGCGGAAGTTTGTCAAATCTATACTTATAATAAATCTGTAGAGAGATCAATTCTGTACATGAAATATATTTCCAAAATAACTATCAGGGGGTGATTAGTGATCGATACTAACGCCAAAAATGCAATCAGTAAAATTTTGTCTGTCTGTCTGTATGTTCGTTATAGAAACAAAAACTACTCGACGGATTTTAACGAAACTTGGTACAATTATTCTTCATACTCCTGAACAGGTTATAGTATACTTTTCATCACGCTACGATCAATAGGATCAGAGCAGTGAAGGGAAATGTGCCTGTTACATCAAAACCACTGAACCGCGAGAAAGGATATAGGCTACTTATTTTACGAAAAACGACGGAAACGCGGACGAAGTCGCTGGCAACAGCTTGTTAAAATAGCTAAAATAAAATAACAGTTTTGCAACGTATTCAATTTCTGTTTTAAATACTTCATTATGTATTATTTATTTTATTATTTAATAACCTATGAAAATTATAGGTCCCCTACTATCCACGGTTACTAAACCGTGGATCACAAAATATTTTTATATACTAAGGGGGTCGCACCATGAAAAAGTTTAAAAGGCACTACCCTAAAGAAAATATCCCATTGCACTACCAAAATTGTTAACGTTTCGATATTATCCTTGTAAATCCTTACCATTTCTATTGGTATCAGCACCTGATAATTTCTGCTTTTGAACTTCACCAACTGGTGCTATTGTCATAACAGTATTATGATCTTTATTATTGATTACATAATTTGAATTACTTTCAGGAACAGTAAAGGGATTTGTCGAACCTGAAATGAGCGTAAAATAAAATTTACTATTTACGTTGTGACTTCTTGATGGACTAATATCACTTTGAACAATAACACATGGAATATTTGTTACTCTATGATTGTATTTTGTTCCACTACTTTTTAAGGGAGTTCCAAGAGAAAAAGATTATCAAATTAATAATATAGTTAGGTACTTGAGAACGAAATATAAATTGTTACACACAAGCCCGAGAAGTTTAAGTGATACTAAAAATTCTTATATTTTGTAGGTAATTGTAGATATTTAGGCGAGGTAATGAAATAAAAACTAAATTAAATATAGACTATATTCCATGGCATTTCGTTGTCAATCCTGAATTGGTGCCTCTGTCCCATTTGTGTTTCAACCGTGAAGCAGTTGTGTTTACATGGCTGTGTTTCGGTTTGAAGGGTGGGATATGGCGTGAATTTACTGGGTACAGGGGAATAACACCTGAGTCCTCAGGAACGGCAACGCATGGGGGGTATCATGGGCGAAACAGTATATTCTGTTATGTCCATGGTCCTTCTCATGTCTATAGACGACGGTTACCACTTTTCATCAGGTGGGCCGTCAGCTTGTTTGCTATTCTAAGTTGTATAAAAAAAATTCGATGTTCAGAATTAGATATTTATAGATTTTGTACCTGTAACCACTGAATTTATCGTTACTTTCTCTGTAGTGGTCGTCGATGCTTCTGTTGTAACTCCAAATACATTTTCCGTCGTCTGATCTATAATTGAATAAGATGAAATTTTAATCTAAAAACTAATAACTATTCCATTGTACTTCAAAAATTCTATTAAATTATTTTAAAAATAATATTTTTTTTTATACATTTAGAATGGCAAACAAGCTGACGGCCCACCTGATGGAAAGTGGTAACCGTCGCCTATAGACATGAGCAGTACCATGGACATAACAGAATATACTGTTGCACCCATGATTCCCCTCTATGCGTTGCCATTCCTGAGGACTCAGGAGTTATTCCCCTGTATCCAGTAAATTCACGTATATTTTCTCCTATCATTGTTAGGTGACATCTTTCTCAATTCTGTATCGATTTGAGGATTTATTTTTTGCAATAGATAGAGTTTATTGATCTGTTGGTTCCATATTACTTATGGCACAGTTATTTAAAAAACGAATATAGTTTTCAATTTTACTCTATTTTTTAAATAAATAAATCCGTAAAGCAGTTGTGTTTACATGACTGTGTTTCAGTTTAAAGGATGGGATATGGCGTGAATTTACAGGGTACAAAAGAATAACATCTGAGTCCTCAGGAATGGCAACGCATGGGGGGGATTATTCTGTTATGTCCATGGTACTGCTCATGTCTATAGGTGACGGTTATCACTTTCCATCAGGTGGGCCGTCAGCTTGTTTGCCATTCTAAGTTGTATAAAAAAACGACTATAACAAGACGAGAACACAATTACCTTCAACTGCTATTTGTTCCTTTGTTGCTATCGTTGAATCTGGTTCAGCAGATGCAACTTTATTCACATTTTTTGCTGTTTCATCTGCTATTGAGTATACTGTGGATAAAGGAACTTTTTTTATTATAAAGTTGGCAAACAAATTCAACCCGTCTGATGATGAAGAGTTACTGTAGACTGTGGGCACCAGTGTGTAATGCCAGTAAACGCGTCAAGTGAGCGTTACTCACTGTACGATTGTTGCACTGAGGTAGCTAGAGGTCACCAGTTCGAATCGATATGTGGACTGTATGTATATATAGATTGAATGAGTGTAGATCCTCGTCCAAATTAGTGGGTAATATAAGCTCCACCAACCTTAAGGATCACGTTCACCACGGATGTACGAAGCACTGCTGGTAAACACGCACGGCGATTCACTAGTAGTTTGGAGCAGCAGCCTCTCAATGATGGACAGGAGAACACTCTTATTTAACACAGAACACGGTAAGCACGGCTTCCGAAAGGCTATCAGTTTGACTTGAATATCAACTTCACTTGAATCAGTTGAGGAGGTGCTCACGGGCGCTCTGCCAGGCGTTCACCGAACAAGTGTCATCGCAATCCACTGATGACAGTTAACCACAAAATTGATGGAACAAAATATGTAATTACCCACCAATATTGGATAAGGATCGAACACTGACTCTAAAGAAACCATGATAATCCTATCAGCTGTTAACTGCCCCCTTCTGAACATAGAATTCCCTCTATTAGGAGGGTTTTCCAGCAGTTACTACGCTTTGCAGGTGGATTGGCAATTTCAGTTAGGCTTTCGAATGGTTTTAAGAAGGATGCAGCTGTTCATTGCTTGACCATTAAGTTCCCTTACTCGCCTTCTACGACACCCATGGAAAAGGTGTGCTTCATTCTACGCCGGAACCACACGGCGAAACTATAATAAACCATTTTTGCAAAACTCCATTCTGCAGTCTCTAAGGAAAACCTCGGCAGTCATTCCATAACCAGGTGGTCTACCATGAAATGAAATTCCGAAATTTCGGGCTGAATTTCGTGTTCTTGTTCGTACCGAAATCAACTCAGTAAATGGAGCTTAACATTTCATACATCATAAATCTTATCCTAATAGTCCAGAGGAACGATATTTTAACATTTTTAATAATTTTAAACGGCATGTATTATGTCATTTTAAAATCATATTTCTGTTTCGTTCGAACCCCAAACTTCGGAAAATATTTCATGGTAGGCCCTCTGAGCGTTCCCGGGACGAAACTTCTCTATAGTCGCCATGTAAGTGTGCGAGCATGTAGGTTCTGGCATGAGAATGAATTCTATTTTAATGTCAACTTCGTCTCTTTCCATTTTAATATCGTTAGACTTTAATAGCTAAAAATAAATACAAAAATAATATATAAACTGCTTATAATTTTGATTAATAATTTAAATATTTTTAAACTAACCTAACTTTAATAATAATTGTGCAATTAAACCAATAAAACATGCTATTTAGATAATTAATAAAATTTTTTACCTGTTAGCTAATGTGTGATATAATAATAGCCGACAGGAAGTCAAAGATATCGGGTAAATACGTAAGCTATTTTCCTATTAATTAAACAAATAATTTAAATAGTTAGAACATTTTTCAAAACATAATAATTATTCACGATAGTTTCCAGGGATAACCGCGTAGAGGTCGACTTGATAGATTATTACTCCTCTCCATCCAAAGGTTGTCTGGAAGAGATCGCTCTTAGGTATTAGTCGATATAAGGTCGCCCATTGTTTTCTCACTGTGATCATTTCTTGTAATTGTTTATATTTATAATAAGTTTACTATTGTAATCTTTTGAAGGAAACAATAAAGAGTATCTATTTATCTATCTATCTATATTGTTAACAATGAGGCTGTTTGATTCCCATTGCTAACAAATTCAAATCACCTTTATTGAAATAGACTTGTTTACAAGCACTTTTACATCGTCATTTTTTTTGCAGGCTTCGAAAAGTTGTTATCCGTTGAGAAGAGCCAGCGAGAAACTCAACAGTTACTCTTTTAAATCTCTGTTGACATTGACTTTTTCTCCTTCCTATCACCTCACTCACTTTTGTCTGGACGGGTCTGCACTTGTGATCTTTTATTTCTTCCCCATTAGTAACCGCTTGCACAAGCTTCATGGTTGATCCATTGCCACTTCAGCTTGTAGAGCCATCGAAATATATCAGTTACTTTAGTTCTTCTGTGATATCTACGTTCCAGATTCTATAACGTAGTAAAACTCTCGAGCATAGATCTCTAATAAGTAATTAACTGTTACAGGTTTTATTTTCATTTTTCTTTTTACAACTTAGAGTGGTAAAAAGCTAACAGCCCATATACAGGATATAATCTATCCATGCACTAAAATTCAATCGAATCCGTTCAGTAGTTTTTCCGTGAAAGAGTAACAAATATCGCATCCATACATCCTTATAAACTTTCGCCATTATAATATTAGTAAAATAATTTTCCATAGGATGCCTGGCCCCTTAAAAAGATTGGCTTGCATCATGGGGTAGGCATTAGACAAGCCTCTTAAATACGTCTATGGTGCTCTAAATAATTAATTACCTTCACTTACCACATAAAATTATTGTTAACACAAAAATACACTCTCTATTCACCAACATTTTGATTTTAACTGTACCACTGAGAGGAAATAATTAAAATTAACTGAAATAAAAAAAAAAAAACTACATACATTAGAATTTTATAATACACATTACATATATTTACTTAAATATCTGATCGTTTATGTGCAGACCCGTAGACTGGTACCGTTAACAGGCAATTCGATATTACTCGTGTATTTCTTAGCATAAAGTCAGGACATTCTTGTTTTCCTGTTTATTTTCCTTTGAGTCTTAGGTAAATATCATATCTAAGTTCTGCATATTTATAGAGGCAATTTCCTACATTAATAAAATCTTTTGAGCTACCCCTGCTTGTAATTTAATTTATTTGTTATTATAAATTTTTATACATTTTTATTTGTTACCTACGTACTTAACTTTTTATAGTTCGTGTATATATATATATATATATATATATATATATATATATATATATATATATATATATATATATATATATATATATATATATATATATATATATATATATATAATAATTCTCCAGGGGCGCCCTGGGTCTTGAGATGGAGTGCGCACAGTCCACTCAGACCTGAAAGATCAATCCACATGATCGTGTGTTACATCGTTTTGTTCAATTTAATATTCCCTAATAACAAAAATACAGCCAGTTTTAAGTTATAATATTTAAAATTTAAATTAATATTTATATAATACTTATACATTAATTAGTGCAAGATTTTAAATGTATATATGTGCATGTATGTATTTATTTTATCTTTGTCTATGCTTCACCATTGTTCTAAGAATAAGGATTTCCGAAATCTTTGAGGTCCTTTGTCAATTTGACATTTGACAATTGTCACTGGTAAATATTACAGTCAGTTTGTTTTATTTATCAACAGTAATTTGAGTTGCCGAGTGAACCCTATTTAAGTTTTAGAACATATTAAGACGTTTCTTTATAATTCTATAATAATTATGGAGGATATTTGCAGACTGTGTTTAAATGTGCAGACTACACAAACAATGAGCAAACTAAATGTTGAACTGTTAGAAAAAATAAACACATGTATTTCAGTTAATGTAAGTAACTCAAGTTAATGTGACTATCAATTCTTAATTTATGTTGTAGTCTCAATCTGTAGTTTCGAATACCTACGTAATTAATAAAATAGAATAAAATAACTATTTATTGTGAGCTGTATATTAAAATTTTTCGTAAGATGTTATTAACGTCTTAAAGGAAAACAGCCTACCCATACATCGGGCATACAATATTTTACAAAATTAAAGATATAAGCTCCGTTTCGTATTTCAAAATTAATTTAATATAATTACCTATATATTTCTGGGGTAAAGGGATTATTAGTAATAAGTAAGATTATTAGTAATTAGAAAGCCTATCACCTATCATCCCTCACCGATACCCCGCCAACGTATACTGATAGCGTAGGCAGGCTCACTAAAATATCAGCCCTGCTGTTAACAATATACATATATACAATATACTGTCAGGTTCTTAGTGGATAATAATGGAATGGTATCCCTATCTATGCCGATGGAGCATCAGTGAGAGGTAATAGGTGAGGATAGAACCAGGCCTGTTAACTCACTGTGACAGATTAAATAATTAATCATGATGATTTCCAGGGGAAGCTCTGTAGAGATCAATCTAACAAGGCTACTATATATTGCTAGCATTGGGGATGTAAATATTTTTTTATACAACTTAGAATGGCAAACAAGCATGATGGCCCACCTGATGGAAAGTGGTAAAGGCCTATACCATAAACATAACAGAGTAGACTGTTTGGACATGAACGATTATGACTATGATTGTACGCCAGTAAATTCATGTCATATTCCACCCTTCAAACCAAAACACAGCTATGCACACACAACTGCTTCACAGTAGAAACACGAATGGGACAGAGGTACCCAAGCAAATGACTTTTGTACAAAGTCTCCCTCTGGTAAAATGTTAATCCCTATTACTAACAATACTACCCTCACCCTGTCAGGTTGACCTCTACATAATTATCTTAGAAAACCATTATGGTCTCCAAAAACGTTTCTGGTGATTTTATCATACTGGGCCAATGGATCTGACTGTTGCTCCCTCAGTGTATAACAATAGCAAAGACAAGGTTGTCATTTCATTTTTACATCATAAAAATGATATTTTCAGATTATGGATGATGAGCATTTACCAAATCATTTATGTCCAGTATGCATGGAAAAAGTGGAAGATATATATACATTCCAGAAGATAATAACAGAAAATCAAAACACCCTGATTAGTTACTTTATAAAAGGACAGGATGATTTGAACAATTTTTATATAAAGATAAAAAATAAAATTAAATTAAAAGGTGAAATTTGTGACATAGATAATAAAGAGAATAAATTATTAAACAATTCACAAATCACCTCTAATTGTAAAGAAATTTATAACACTGGCATTAAAATTGAAACCATAGACAGTGATGTTGAGAATTCAATATATTATAGTTCTGAAGATGAACTTACACTTTCGTCAATAAAAAAGGCAAAGGAAGGCGATTGTACTGTTATAATAGAAAAAGACAAAGGAGATTTAAATGAAAATTTTAAATGTCTCATGTGCTTTGAATTACTTGAGAGTAAAGTTGATTTACTTAAACACTATAATGGTCATACTAATAAAGAAACTGGTAGAAAATCTGATATAAGTTATTCAATTTTATCTGCAAATGGGATATCTATTTATAAATGTAATAAATGTAGTAAAGAGTATAGTCATAAAAAAGGTATCAATAGACATATTGCTGGACATACGGAGATTAGACCTTTTATTTGTAAAATTTGTGGTAAGTATTATTTAAATTTCTTTTTCAATACAAATTTTGAATTATGAGAAATATCTTATAATTCAATAGAATTTTTAATTTAGTTTAAGTATTACTATTTATTATTAAGAAGGGGTGGCCATTCTATGCCAAGACTACATGGGTCTTGGCATAGAATGGACCACCCCTTTTTTTTCCATGAGTATCATAAGAGGCGACTGAGGGAGGGAAACAAGGGATAGGCAGCAGCGTTTCTCTTGAAATATATCTAAAGCCTATATATGGTTGCTACTGGCAAAACCCCCCAAGGGAGAGGCTTATATTCAGCAGTGGACAGACAGCAATGCTCATATGATGATGATATTTTAAGTATTATTCTATTTATATGTCACGGGCCTAAATAATATACCAAACAATTTTTTTCAATTATCCATTTTGACAAAATTAGGCTTTGATGATGTTTAAACAGTGATATTTCTGCCCATCCCTTGACCATTAACTTTCCATAATTACCTTTTATAACAGCCACAAAATAATAATTTCTTATTAACTAATTCCAGGTAGAACATACAAAACAGTGTCAGAGATTGTCCGTCACGGCCGAGCCCATAATGGATCCAAGCTGTACTGTTCCTATCAATGTGGCTACAGCACTGTTTACATGGGAGCTCTAAAAGCTCACCACCGGAGACATAATAAATCTGAATATAAGGTATTATTCCAAATTCATATTTCTTTCTATTTTAATTAAGTCAACAATAAAAAAAATATGAAATAAATCTGTTTAAAAGCATTTATTTATTAAGATTATGTTCCATATAAAAAACTGACTTATTTGCGGTTAGTTAAGTACTTTGATTTAAAAATCATCTGCACGAGTGGCGGTCTTCCACCGTGCGTTTTTCAAGGCACTTTTTTCCACGCACAACCATTCTTTGGAATCAACTTCCAGCAGCAGTATTTCCGAAACGATACAACAACATAACCTTCAAGAAAAGAGTATATGCCTTTTTAAAAGGCCGGCAGCACACCTGCAATGCCGCTGGTGTTGTGGGTGATCATGGACGGCGGTAGTCACTTACCATCAAGTGAGTCGCATGCTCGTATGCCCCCTGCGTTGTAAAAAAAATAATAATTAGGACTCACTATTTATATACAGGAAGCGGTTTAAGTCTTCCTTCATCATATGTACGGTAAAGGAGTGGAACTCTCTCCCAGCTTATGTTTTTCCCTTCCAATAAAATCTGCACCAATTTAAAGCAAATGTGAATAAGCTATTGGTGGGCCCGTAAGCCCCTTCTTAGACTATGCTATTGCTTTCCATAAGGTGAGATCGTTACCAATCGCAAGACTTATAAATAGTAAAAAAAAAGTAAATTGCAGAACTGAGTGTTTGCATGGTTGTGTTTCGGTTTAAAGGGTGGGATATGGCGTGAATTTACAGGGTAAGAAGGAATAACATCCGAGTCCTCAGGAATGGCAATGCATGGGGGGTATTATAGGTGAAACAGCATACTCTGTTATGTCCATGGTACTGCTCATGTCTATAGGCGACGGCTACCACTTTCCATCAGGTGGGCCGTCAGCTTGTTTGTCATTCTAAGTTGTATAAAAAAAGCGATTTTGATAAAATTTTATGGTACCAATCTCTAAATATACGCTGCTGCCCATCCCTTGACCATTTTATTTTATTACATTTTATTATATACACATAATCCAGAATACATATATAATCATATGGGGCACTATAAAATTCATTCTTATATTTTCCAGTATAAATGTGATAAATGCGGAAAAGGTTTTCAAGTGAAAACTTGGTATGAACAGCATCAAAACGTCCACAATGGCCTGAAGCCGTTCGTATGCGATTTATGTGGCGTTGCGTTTCATATGGACAGGTGATTTTCTTGTTTTTCCTAATCACTAGCCATATCCCGTGGATATGGTCGCGTCAATTTGTATATAAAGTTCTCTGTATGTTAAATTAAGATATGTTTAGTACATAATATATTTAAATTCGTTCAACTGTTTAAAAGGGTCCATTCCATATTATATATGTCATATGAGTCATGTATATATTATATTATATTATAGGTAGTTTAAATGTTTTTCAAAATTAATAATTAATAATAAAATTACTGGGTACAAAGGAATAACACCTGCGTCCTCAGGAATGGCAACGCATGGGGGTATCATGGGCGAAACAGTATACTCTGTTGTGTCTATGGTACTGCTCATGTCTATAGGCGACGGTTACCACTTTCCATCAGGTGGGCCGTTAGCTTGTTTGCTATTCTAAGTTGTATAAAAAACAATCCGTCGTTATCACACATCCGCCCGTATTTCTTCCTTGAGCAGCTGTGCCTGTATTGTTGTGTTTCGATATAAAGTGTGGGGTATATTGTCGAGAACACATTTTTGTTTTTGTCCTTTCACAAGTATAACGGACGAGCCAGTCATCATTGCGCTCAATCATATTTTGGTAAACTCAACGGCCCGGCCCCTATATACCGATGGCCATATGCCCATGCCATGTCATTTATTATCAACATTTACACTCATGCTTGTTTACTGGTGCCTTTATTGTATAAACAGCAAGTTTCCATATCCTTCCAGATACCTGACAGCTCACCGTAGCGCCGTGCACCCACAGTCTTCAAGACTGAAGCGATATATTTGTGTCCACTGCTCGTTACCGTGCGATAGTATGAAGTCACTCACAGATCATTTAAAGGTATGATTTTTTTATACCACAGGTGGCAAACAAGCATACGGCCCACCTGATGGTAAGCGGTTACCGTAGCCTATGAACACCTGCAATACCAGAGGTATTACACGCGCGTTGCCGACCCTGAAGAAACCTCTGTACCCCCTTTTTGTAGAACCCCATGCTGTAGTCTCTTGGGAAAACCTCAGCAGGGAGCTCATTCCATAATCTGAGTGTTCGTGGGAGGAAACATCTCTGAAACCGGAATCATGTGGTGGGGGGAAAGGGATTATTAGTAATGGAGACTGAGAATCCCATTGCTAGCAATATACCCAACCAGGTCGACCTCCTCGCGGTTCTCCCTGGAAACTATCATGGTTAATTCCTGATGAATTCATCATGATGGGCTAACTGGCCTGTTTTCATTCTCATCTATCACCCTTCACTGGTGCTCCGCCAGCGTATCCCATTAGCGCAGGCGGGGTTACCATACCATTTACACCCATAAAAAAAAAACCGGAATCATGTCAAAATGAACTATTTTCAAAGAAGACTTATTGCTAATATTATCAATGAGTAAATCGAATAAAATTCACCTAGATGGATAGGGATGTTCACATATTATGTAGTGCAATTTTTGAAGATTTATAATGGATTTTAGGGATGGATGGACCCAGCATCCAGTTGGTGATTTTGCATAAAGTTGTAATTTATTTCATTCTTGTTCCAGGAACACGGCATCGTGACCAACTTTCTGTGCGACATCTGCGGTAAAACGCTAGCCAACTCTGAACAAATGAAGTTCCATAAGAGAAAGCATTTAGGAGAGAGACCCTTTACGTGCAGGTATAATTTTCCTCATCATCATATCAGCCGTTAACCGTCCACAGCTGAAAATAGGTCTCCCCTTGGGGGGTTTTGCTAGTAGTTGCCACGCTTGGCAGGGGGGTTGGCAACCGCAATATGGTAATGGAGGGAGAGGGATTATTAGTAATGGGGATACTAATTCCCATTTTTAGCGATATACCCTATCAGGTCGACCCTCCATGCGGTTCCTCCTGTAAAATATCATGATTAATTCTTGTTAGTCCGTTACAATGGACTAACTGACTTAGTTTCATTCTAATCTATCACCACTAACTGGTGCCCGCCAACATATACCAAGAGCGCAGGTGGGGTTACCATTCCATTCTCACCCGTATAAAAAACCGCAGTTAGGTTCTAGTGATCCTTTAAGAGGGACGTTGCTACCCATTCCTCGACATTTAATTCTTACGACGCTCACGGGAAAAGGAAGGGTAGCCCATTCTATGCTGGGACCACACAACTATTTGTGCAACAAAGGGATTTAATAAATCTTGTACTATTTTACTATAGCGAAACTGCACGAAAATATGTATCTAATTGAAGGCATTGGTGTCTAAGATACAGGCTAGGCCTAGTTTAGACACTAATGTGCTGGGCATAATGCATCATTTTATACACATATAATTCACTTTGAAATTTTTGTAAGCCCATGACTGTGTATTTTTATGAGCAATAAATCTTTATTATTATTATTTTTAAATTTTACAAAAATTCTCATCTCCCCTCTTAAGGAGAGGAGATGGCAACTAACCCCCGGCAGAAGCACAGTCGGCTGGGGTACAGGGCCCCAGGGAGAGAAACCGGCGTACAATGCGAGCAGTGTCTAAGAGTACCCTTTCTGCATCTTTCCCGGGAGTGATTATTATTATTATTATTAATTAAACATTTCCAGTACATGCAACAAGTCATTCCCAAAAAAGTTCAACTTGCAAGTGCACGAACGTACGCACACGGGCGAGCGGGCGCACCCGTGCGGCCGCTGCGGGAAACGGTTCACACAACGCAGCACTCTGCACAGGCACATCGCCAGGTACTCTATGCTATCATAGTGTAATACATTTTTTTTTATGCAATTTAGAATGGCAAACAAGCTGACGACCCACCTGATGGATAGTGGTAACCGTCGCCTATAGACATGAGCAGTACCATGGACATAACAGTATACTGTTTCGCCCATGATACCTTCAATGCGTTGCCATTCCTGAGGAGTAAGGTGTTATGTTTCTGTACCCTTTAAATTCACTGCTATATCCCACCTTCTGTTTTTGTATATATATATATATATATATATATATATATATATATATATATATATATATATATATATATATATATATATATTATATTTTATATAATAATTCTTTTATTATCAGACAACGAACATTTGGAGGCAAAACCAAGAACTTCCAGATTCAAGTTAATTCAGATAAATTCATTTCTGAATTAAATAATTAAAAGTTTATTATATTTTAATGTAGTTATGTTAATTATAATTATTTTACTCTTTATTGCACTAAAAATATATAAATATACAACGACAATTAGAAAATTCAAGTGAAATACAGATATAAAATAGTATAAAGTACAGATTGAAATACAGTAAAACCTGGTTAAGTGAGACATTAAGGGACCTGTAATTTTGTTTCACTTACAGTGTTCCATTAATAGAGGTCAGAATAAAAATATATAAAGGTGTAAAAGGTGGACTTTATCACTACAGCAATCATTTACAGACAACTTTTGGTTAAAGGAGAACAGATAGAAATTATTTGATTAATTTCAGACAACACGCTGGCTCGGATTTGTTAAAGTGCGGAAAATGCCAGGAGGAGTTCGCGTCTCGCAGTCAACTCAATTCTCATCGGAAATCTTGTGCGTGACTTGAGCAGTGCCGTCGACATATTGGGTAGTGCTATAGTAAATTATAATTTAAAATTATTCGATTATTATAGACTGATGTCTCAGAATATCAGATGTCTATATTTATTTAACTCCTTATTGCATCAGAAACATAATTTTTTTTTATGGGTGAAAATGGTATGGTAATTCCGCCTGCGCTAACGGGATACGCTGGCGGAGCACCAGTGAAGGATGATCGATGAGAATGAAAACAGGCCAGTTAGCCCATCATGATGAATTTATCAGGAATTAACCATGATAGTTTCCAGGGAGAACCGCGAGGAGGTCGACCTGGTTGGTTATATTGCTAGCAATAGGATTCTCAGTCTCCATTACTAACAATCCCTTTCCCCCCCATAAAAATATATTATGACAATTGAAAAATTCAACAATAATAAAGGTACAAAAGGCGGTCTTATCGCTAAGGCAATCTCTTACAGACAACGTTTGGTTAAAGGAGAATAGATAAAAGTGGGTAGGTGGCGCTAGTGTTATTAATATTTTTTTTTGTACACAAAAATCTATATTGCCTAAAAATACCAATAAATATAATTTATTAAACTACTTATTATAACAATAAATACCTACCCAAAGGTTGTCTGGAAGAGATTGCTTAGCGATAAGGCCGCTTTTTGTATCATTTCTCAAATATTCTATAAATGGTGCAGTAAAGTGTATATAAATAAATAAATATATAAATCATAAACATACACATAGCACACAGAAGGAAATATGACAAATCCAGTAAAAAAAATTACAAAAAATGGAAAAGTGTAACTACTAAACATTGGAAATGATTTGACTTACATATACATATGTTTCAGGAAATTTATGAACTTATTGTGTTTTTGGCGTTTCTGAAATAAGCTATACTGATCGTTTACCATCAGACCGGGCTGTTGCCACCTTTGTGGTATAAAAAAAACCTGTTACATATGTATATAGACATCGAATAAAAAATCAACGAAGATTTATCGATTATTTTTATTAGATTATTCCATCCCCCTTTCTTTCCCGTGGGTGTCTTAAGAGGCGACCGAGGGAATTTAATTGTAGAGGGACGGGCAGCAGCGTCCTTATTAAAACATCTCTAAAAGCCTAACTGCGGTTGCCAAACTGCCTACCAAGGGTGGTAACGACTGGCAAAACTCCACTTACGGGGAAGGCTTGTTTACCAGAGGAAGACTTTGTACAAAAGTCGATTGCTTGGGTACCTCTGTCCTATTCGTGTTTCAACCGTGAAGCAGTTGTGTTTGCATGACTGTTTCAGTTTGAAGGGTGGGTTATGGCGTGAATTTACAGGGTACAGAGGAATAACACCCGAGTCCTCAGGAATGGCAACGCATGGGGGTATCATGGGCGAAACAGTATACTCTGTTATGTCCATGGTACTGCTCATATATATAGGCGACGGTTACCACTTTCCATCAGGTGGGCCGTCAGCTTGTTTGCCATTCTAAGTTGTATAAAAAAAAAGTTTAGCAGTGGACAGTTAATGGCTGAAATGATGATGAAAAGAAGTGATGATTAAGGAAAGAAAACTACATGATATTACTTGTATTATTTATGTTCCATATAATGTATATTTGTTTACGTACATTGTAGTCGATATTTTATCCAATTGTCTAGTATTTACAGTACAATAAATATTTAACTGAACAAGGCATTATCTTGTTATTATTTCCCATAAAAAAAATACTATGGGATATATTCGGACTATTTCATGGCTACCTTCGGTCTACCATCCCTGGTAAGCTTGAGGTGTATGAGCTTGACGTGAGTACCTAGTATGGAGGCCTGGCTGAACTGCGCCGGGCACCTGCTGCACTGGTAGGGCCGTTCGCCTGTGTGCGTCCGTATGTGGCCTTTTAGTATTTGGTTACGCTGTAAGAAACAAATAATTACTATGTATTACTAATATGGGGTAGACAGACAATGGAAAGCGATTGATTTAAACAAATCTCTTAAAAAAAATTTATGGGACTAATCTGAACATAAATTCTTCCAAATAAAAAAAAAATACAAATGAATTTATGAACGATAGAGTTGTGAGGTGACAAACATAAATAAAAAATATAGCCGAATTGAAAAACTCCTCTCTTTTTTAAAGTACGTACATCGAATACTTTATCACACATTGGGCAGGGGAACTTGAGTGGCCGCTTGTACCCTTCGTGGATCATGCGTTTGTGTTCATTCAGGGACCAACCGTTCACATAGGCCTGTAATAAATAAATCATCATTATTAATAATAAAAAATCGTTATTACAAATAAATTTTATAAAAATCACTAGTGACCGCGCCCCAGCTTCGCACGGGTGCAATGCAGCACCGCTATGTCCCTACATTTTAAATCTGTAATATGTTCAGAAATATTAATTTAAATTACATGCTGTAAAGGGCCATATTGATCTATATTAAACGGACAATGTATTTAAGGTACTTAATTGGATAAAAATTTATGCTGTATTGCTTAAAATCACTTCGTAAATAAGCCATTTTTCCCCGTAAAATGTAAAGGATAAAAAATGGTTATTGTAAGTTAATCTTAAGAGATAGACATATACCATCGCGGACTTTTTTGTTGACCTTTTTAAGGTGTACAATATTGTAGTACATTTTTTTATTTATCTCATGGAGTTCAGCTAGCGTTCGGAATGTAAGCGCAAAAATGTGTTTATTTACGACATCACATTAGAAACCTCTAAATTTATCAGTGTTTCTCTATAATATTATGCATGTATTACACATATAAACCTTCCTCTTGAATCACACTATCTATTAAAAAAACCGCATCCAAATCCGTTTTGTAGTTTTAAAGATTTAAGCATACATAGGGACGGACAGACTGCGACAGCGACTTTATTTTATATTATGTAGTGATATCAGCCATTTATCTACTCTTAAAAGTTTTTTTTTTGCACAATTTTGCATTTTCACACAAAAAAAGGGGTGGGAGAAATTGATATTTTTTTCGGAAAGAATTTCCACTGGTTTTCAGTTTAGAATAACGGTATGAATTCATTATTTCAGTTTTTGCCAACCTGTCCCTTGCACCCTGTATGCAATACTGACCTTGTCACACCTGTCGCATTGGAACGGCTTTATATTGAGATGCACACGGTTGGTGTGCCGCTCCAAGTCGCGCCGGATCGCGAACCGCTTCTCGCAGTGGAGGCACGGAAGGCTGCGAAAAATTATAATTTTTAATTTTTTCAAAATTCACATGCTAAACTAACCCCCAGCAGAAGCACAGTTGGCCGGGGTAGAAGACACAGGGAGAAAAATCGGCGTAATACGCGGGCAGTAACCAAGAGCATTGCTTTTTGCTTCTTTACCGGGAGTGAAATCGCCCCGGAATCCCAACCATCTGAGGTGTTGCTCCAGACTGGTTGGGATAAGACCGTTTACCAACAGAACGATTGGGATGATTTCGATGGATGTAACACTTCCCTCCCCCCCACATTTCGGTGATCTCGTGAGTCGAGTCGAGATATTTTCTCTTTTTCTCGGTTTCTTTCATGAGGTTCTCATCATACGATATGGTGACATCCATCAAAGACACCCTCTCCGATCCAGGGCTTCAAGATCGGTTTGTCACCATTGAGCACGCAGAAAGTGTATAGGAGTACGAATATGACTCGGCCGTTATAAACTCGGATTTTATTCACGCCTGACAAGGGACTTTTCAGTACTTCAGTACTACTACTACGTCCCATTCGTGTTTTAACCGTGAAGCAGTTGTGTTTGCATGACTGTGTTTCGGTTTGAAGGGTGGGATATGGCAGTGAATTTACAGGGTACAGAGGAATAACATCTGAGTCCTCAGGAATGACAACGCATGGGGGGTATCATGGGCGAAACAGTATACTCTGTTATGTCCAGGGTACTGCTCATGTCTATAGGCGACGGTTACCACTTTCTATCAGGTGAGCCGTCAGCTTGTTTGCCATTCTAAGTTGTATAAAAAAAAAACTTCTGTAAGGCGCGCAAAAAATTCCTTGCAGAGCGACTGTTTCACATCCGCTTTCTTCACACTTTAATCATGTTCACTGCTGAACACATGTCTCCCCCTTGGCGAGGTTTACCAGTAGTTGCCACGCTTGACCAGGCGGGTTAGCAACCGCAGTTAGGCTTAAGAGATGTTTTAAGAAGGACGCTGCTACCCATCCCTCGCCTTCCATTAGTCGCCTCTTACGACATCCACGGGAAAGGACGGGATGGCTTATTCTATGCCGGGACCATACGGCGAACCCCTATCTATACTAATAAAATACAGCGGGAGAGTTTGTTTGAACGCGCTAATCTATGGAGCTACCAGTGAGATTTGAAATATTATTTTTGCATTTGATAGCTTATTTTTTGGGGAAGGCAAATTTCAATTTTACGACACAGCCATGGACGAAGGCGCATGATTTAGCTAGATAATGAATAAAACACTACTCACGGTAACTCTATATAGTTGATGTGGGGCGCGGCAGTCTTCAAATGTTGTTTCAAACTTGAATTAGATTTGAAACTTCTGAAAATAATAATTACGAATTAAAATGATTTATATAAAAGAAAATTTATATTCTTTCTGCATGTTATATTAATTTTTTATCAATAAAATTTTGATTGAAACGACAAACATAGCACGCAGGCGCGCGCGCACGCATGCACGCACGCACGCACGCACGCACGCACGCACACACACACACACAAAGTTCTTGAATTCATGTTTTAATATTATAAAATTATAGAATAAGTAGAATAAAATAAGTACCAAAAACCTTAGTCTTGCTTAATTAAAGAAAAAAAATTTCGATTATAGATTATTTTTAAAATATACTAATATAATCACTTCATGTCAAGTTATTTTAGGGATGGGCAGAGGCAATAAAGTTGTAAAGACCTCTATCCCTTACACACATATCTTGCTTCCAAACATTTGTATAACTACACTCTATTAATAAAATCTAAGGAATACATATATTGTTCCTTATATAATTTTATTTTTTTATGAAAATTTACGTTGAGGTTTCAGTACAAATGGGTGACTATACTATAGTATCTCATATATATATAACTAAAAGACAAGATAATTAAAATAAAATTGTGTTCCACCAAAAAAATCAAAAGACTTAAATTCTGGCCAAACCAGTTATTTTGATTTAAATATTGAATTACTTTTTTTACAACTTTTTATATATATATATATATATATATATAGAAAAAGTCTCTCTTAGAGAATATCTGCACGTAAGGTTTATCATATCAGTTAGGGACAACTTTACCCATAGATATATTCGTAAACATTTGGCTTTGCGTTTGCCAGATTGCCTAAAGATTGCATACATATTTTACTAGACCGAGAACGATCTGTAATCGGTATTACAGTGTAAATCTAGTCTTCACATTATAATGCCAGATCAAGATCTGGCATTATAATGTGAATTCGGCCTAATTCTGGTGATTTGAAGTGATAATTTGTTAGTTTTCTGAATTGCGTCTCTGTGCATCTTCTATCGAATTTATTATGGGGAGTGCTCTGAGGAATTGTTCGGATTGATACCTGCTGCTGACTTTCACCACCGTACAACCCGCTATAAACTAATCCCAATAATCAGGACGAGTGGCGGTCTTTCACCGTGCGTTTTTCAAGGTACTTTCTTCCACACACAACCACTCTTTGGAATTAACTTCCAGCAGCAGTATTTCCGAACCGATACGACAACATAACCTTCAAGAAAAGAGCATATCCCGTTTTAAAAGGCCGGCAGCACCCCTGCAATGCCGTTGATGTTGTGGGTGACCATGGGTGGCGATAGTCACTTGCTATCAGGTGAGCTGCATGCTCATTTGCCCACTGTGTTGTAAAAAAAAAAAAATTGGAAAACTTACTTATCACATTCGACACAGTAATAATCCCGCCTGTGGGAGTGCTTTATACTGTGATTCTTTAGATGCGAGGGGGCCTTGAATGCCATGCCGCACTCTTGGCATACGTATTTCTTGTGCACCTCACCACCAGCCACTTCTTTTGGATGCCTCCTAAAGCAAACGGATAATCATTCAAATATTGGCTATAAGGAAAATGGATTTTTAGAAATGGGGATATTAATCCCCACTGCTTGCAATATAGTCGTCTGGGGACCATCATGATTAATTCTCAGCGAATCCACTATGTGGCAATGGGTTGGTCACATAGCTCGAGAAACTGACAATCGATGGGGAAGAAAGGTTCTTGAGTGGCGACCCCACACTAGATGGAGTGACGACCTCAAAAGCATTGCAGGGTGTCAGTGGATGCAGGTGGCTCAGGACCGTTCTTTATGGCAGTCTATGGGGTAGGCTTATGATGATGATAATAACACTAGAGAGAAACTTTGTACAAAAGTCGATTGCTTGGGTATCTCTGTCCCATTCGTGTTTCAACCGTGAAGCAGTTGTTTGCATGGCTGTGTTTCGGTTTGAATATATCTGAATATATTGATAATATCTGAGTCCTCAGGAATGGCAACGCATGGGGGGTTATCATGGGCGAAACAGTATACTCTGTTATGTCCATGGTACTGCTCATGTTTATAGGCGACGGTTACCACTTTCCATCAGGTGGGCCGTCAGCTTGTTTGCCATTCTAAGTTGTATAAAAAAAAATACTATGACCGCCACGAGACCTGTCATGCGCTGTTAAGGACTATGGTGTTTTTTTTTTTTTAATTCTTTTTGCTTATGATCTAGTAAATAAAGGAATATACTTACATAATCATATGACCCTTGAGCACTTCCTTGTTAACGTAGCTCTTATGGCAGTATGCGCAGGAGACGCGCTCTTTGTTCGTATGTGAATACGATATGTGTTTTCGTAGCGACACTTGGCGTCTGGAAATATTTTTCATTTTATTTTGCTTTATTATGTAATAATTAGTGTAGCAATATATTTTTTTTATGGGGTGATAATGGAATGGTAACCCCGCCCGCGCTATCGGTATACACCGACGGGGCACCAGTGGAAGATAATAGGTGAAAATGAATGCAGTTCAGTTGGCCCATAATGTTGAATTCGACAAGAAATTAACCATGATGGTTTCCAGGGGGAACCGCGTGGAGGTCGACCTGAGAGGGTATATTGTTAACCATGGGGCTATTAGACCTCATTACTAACAAATCCCTTCCCTCCCTAATGTTAGTGATTGTTAAGATTAGAGAAAAAATAAATTTAAATTAAACCAATAACTAACATTGTTATTAACTTGTTGTTGTTACTGTATTTTTTAGTGCAATAAAGTATATATAATAATAATTAATTGAAAAGATTAAAGAAAATACTTACTTGAAGATCTTAGAACAGTGCGGACAGTTGTATTGGTAGTATCCATAACAGTGGTACGCTGTGTAATGATCTTTTATTGTCAACCTGCTTATTCTGGTGAGGCCGCACTCGCTGCATTTATATCGTCTAAGTAAAATAAAGAGGGACATCATTTTTATAGAAGCTAATGGAAAAGTAAACAATTCAAGTTAAGACCTGATTTAACCTGCTTGTGTATCATATCAGCCTTTAACTGTAGATGTTGTCGACTTTTCACTTCTGTATTATTTATAATATGTATTCAGATGAGACTTTAAGAAATATATTTAAAAATGAAAAATATCTCCCTGACTAACATATATATTATGGAATTGTGTGTTTTTGTTAATAATAATATGACATATTTTGTTAATAAATCTGATATTCGAAATAATTTACGTAATAAATACAAATATGATATTTGTCTACCAACAATAAATAGTTATACATATGGAAGGAGTGCAATTATAATGGGTATTAAAGTATTTAATCATCTTCCCTTAAACATTAAATGTCAGGATAAGCATATGTTTAAAATTAAACTCAAAGCCTGGCTTTTTGATAATGTTTTTTATAATTTAAATGAAACTTCAATCTTAAAACATTGACATGTAAGTGAAATTATGTTTATTTTATTTTAGGCTTTGTCTTGAGATTGTATAATTTTTATACAAGTAAACTAGTATTGAATGGCAAACAAGTTCTTAAATTGACAGCCCACCTGATGGAAAGCTATATGGTACACAGTTAGCATAAAATTCTATTCTATTCTATTCTATTCTATTCTTGGCAGGCGGAGACATGAGATTTTTTTATACAACTTAGAATGGCAAACAAGTGACAGCCCCCTGATGGAAAGTGGTAACCGTCGCCTATAGACATGAGCAGTGCCATGTACATAACACAATATACTGTTTCACCCATGATACCCCCATGCGTTGCCATTCCTGAAGACTCCGGTGTTATTCCTCTGTACCCTGTAAATTCACGTCATATCACACCCTTCAAACCGAAATACAGTCATGCAAACACAACTGCTTCACGGTAGAAACACGAATGGGACAGAGGTGCACAGGCAAACGACTTTTGTGCAAAGTCTCCCTCGGGTAAGATCACAGACAAAATATCCTAAGCCGTCATTGTTAGTGGTGATGAGAATAATTAAAATTAGGTTAAAATATTACAACCCTATGCAGCGATAAAAGTTTAACCAAAACTCACAGTTGGTGGTACCGCTTGTGACTGAGTAATTTTTCCTCTGACGGCATCCTTTGTTTACATATATCACATTCAAACTCGCCCATACTCTGAAAATATATTTATTCAAATTTCGAGCATTTATTATTATTTTTAATTAATAAACTAGACAGTTTACCACCTATAATAGTAAAAAAAAAAAAAAAAAACAAAAAAAAAAAAACAAAATTTTGCTGGTAATAAGGAGCCACCTCAGCTGTTGCTATATATGCACAGCTCCAGCGAGATGCGTCTACACTGCGCTGATTTTCAGACGGCTCCTTAACTCATTTAACTTTAGTATTTGTGTGGGTCGCTAATGCCAATTTTTTTATTTTATTTAGAATAGCAAACAAGCTGACGGCTCACCTGATGGAAAGTGGTACCCGTCGCCTTTTCGTCGCAATTGACTTTTGTACAAAGTCTCCTTCTGGTAACAATAATATAAAAAAAAAAAAAAAACCTTCTTTCCGTTAAAAACACAGACATGCAAGCGTAGTTACTTGACAAACAAGGGTACATTAAAATCATATTTCAATTCGTTTACCTGACTATGTTTCTCCATATGCTTGTCATAGCTGCCCTTAAAATTGAAACCTTTTATACAATTTTCACATTTGTACATTGAATTTAAATATTTTATATCTTTCATCATCTTGGCTCTCTCTTCCATACATTGTTCTCTCGATATGTATAAAGTTTTTATTCTAATATCTGAAATTAAATTTATTATATAGTACATTACTGCAGCGGCTAGTAACTGAAGCATTGATGGACGAACATGCAAATGTGGACCGGGGCGTAGCCGAGGCAAATATACGTGAGTCCATTAAAGCCTAGTTGTGGCCAAGGCTTGTACGAGGTCTGTCCGGAAAGTTCGTATAAAAGTGTTCTGGAATGCGAGAAAGAGGAGTGGGGAGGCCAGGTAAGCGCAGACCCCTTCCTTATGTTAACAATGCTCAGTTCTGGTCTGACCGCCGTGCGGTGCGAACTGGCTTGTACGCCATCTGTGAAGTTACTTTTCTCTTAACGAAACCCCGTCGGCATGGAGCCCGCTTCCGTTGAAGAGCAGCGCGTCGTAATCAAGTTTCTCTCGAAACTCGGCAAGAATGGCCGTGAAATTTTTGCCGATCTAATTCGATAAGACATCCGGGGAACCACGAACAAAAAAATCAAGAAAATCCCGCTCAAATGTCAAGACAATGTTGATTGTTTTTTTCGATGTTCGGGGGATTGTCCATCAATAATTCGTCCCTCCAGGCCAGACAGTTGATGGAAAATTCTACGTCGATGTGCTCAGACGCCTCAAAGCTCGTGTGGCACGAGTTCGTCCAGAATTGGCGCGAGAGGGGCGTTGGATTCTTCACCACGACAATGCCCCTACACCTCTCTTGTTGTCCGTGAGTTTTTGAGTAAAAATTCCATTACGGTGACCGAACACCCCCTATTCGCCGGATTTGGCCCCGTGTGACTTCTTCTTGTTCCCAAAAACCAAATTGGTACTTCGGGGGCGGCATTTGGGGGACATAAATGAGATAAAAAAAGCTACGACGGGGCAGCTGAGAAACCTACAACCAGAGGACTTTCAAGGAGCCTTCTCACAGTGGAAACGGCGTTGGCACAAGTGCATTATGTCACAGGGGAGTACTTTGAAGGGGATAAAATTGATATACCTGAATAATTGTAAAATAAAATTTTTAAAAAACTTTTATACGTACTTTCCGGACAAACCTCGTATAGTACTTTTCTCAAACAATGCGCGGAAATCAAAAACTTAATTTTACTTTTTAAGTTCAATGACGAATAATGAACAATAATAATTGTTCACGCGCTATAATGTTCCTTTGTTTTTTTTTATCAATAAACAGCTTTTTATTTGCAAGCCAGTCCGAACTTTAAATAAAACCTTTTATTAGTTACCTCCTTGGTAACCATGTTTCGAAGTAAAGGGTCATTCCATTTTTAAATTACAGGACAGATATGAATTTACATAGTACTTTATCTGGCCGTAAACCACGACAGATATGGATTTTCATACAACCTTTGCCGGCCGCTGCCCGCATGTATCTGGCAAGTACGGCAATTTTGATTTATCTCGAAGAAGATTGTCAAAATAATGCTCATATTTCCAAGCATGTTTGAGAAATACTATACCACTATGGAGGTAAAAATTAAGGATGTCTGAAATATAATTATCAAATTTATCTTACTTTTCCTTTTTAGTAGCTCTTGTTTAGTGTTCTGTTTTTTTCTCACTTTACTTTTTTTTAATGTTTTCTTGAGACATTTTAAATTAATATCAGCTAATTCTAATTTTAAAGGGAAATCCTCATCCTCTTCCTTAAGAAATGACGCTTGAAATTCTGTGAACGATAAATGGTATATTTATTATTGAATAACATATAAAATGACATATTTTTTTTTAATTTATTGAAATATCGTGACAACGAAATTTTTAACGTATTGAAATTTTATAAGATAAAGGTTAAAACAAAAGTATTTAAAAAAAAAATTGCATTTAATAAAAAAAAAAAGGAATGTTTTCTCCTAATTTTAATATGACTGAAATATGTCCACTGTCTAAATATTTATTTTTTAACTTTTTTTTTTTTTATTTTTATAAAACTTAGAATGGCAAACAAGCTGAAGGCCCACCTGATGGAAATTCGCCTATTAAGTACCATGGACATGTATACTGTTTCGCCCAATACCCCCATGTGTTGCCATTCCTGAGGACTCAGGTGTTATTCCTCTGTAAAGTAAATTCACGCCATATTTTTGCAAACACAACTGCTTCACGGTTGAAACTATTGAAGGCTCGCGTTATGTGGTCTAAGATAGAGCTCACAGGGCTCACAAATATTTTATTCTAGGATGTAATACATCATACAAATTTTTTTTTATACCGTAGACTATGAACGCCTGCAATACCAGAGGTATTACGCGTGTGTTGCCGACCCTGAAGAAACCTCTATCCCCCTTTTGAAGAACCCCATGCTGTAGTCTCTATTGTAGTCTAATGTATTGATAATTTTCTTTATATTGTAATTATTTTTATTAAAATAATTTCCTGTATTTATTTATCTGTTGTTGTTGTTGATGAATAATAATTTTAAAAAATTATATTACAATACTTAGTAGAAATAAAACACACATGGGACAGACCAGTGGATAGGGGAAGAAGGGATTGTTAGTAGTGGGGATTAGTAACCCCTCTGCTAGCAATATTCCCTGTCAGGTCGACCTCCTCGTGGTTTCCCCTGGAAACAATCGTGATTGATTTATTATTAGATTCGTCATGGTGGGCTAACTGACCTTCTTCATCCTCACCTATCATCCCTCATTGGTGCCCCGCCAGTGTATACCGATAGCGCAGGCGGGATTTTTTTTTAAATGGGTGAAAATGGATTGGTAACTCCGCTGGCGCTATTGGTATACACCTGCGGGACCCCAATGAATAATGATAGATGATGATGAAACAGATCAGTTAGCCCATCGTGACGAATTCAACAAGAATTGTTCACGATGGTTTCCAGGGGGAACCACGTGGAGGTCGACCTAATAGGGCATATTGTTAGCAATGGAGCTGTCAAACTCCATTGTTAACAATCCCTTTCCCCCCAGCGCAGGCGGGGTTACCATTCCATTATCATACATTAAAAAAAGACCAAAGGATAGTCTTATTATTTAAACTGATCTCAGATAAATTCAAGACAGGTTTAAAAGAAAAATTATTCACCTGTGTCATTATCAATAAATTCTCCTTCCAAATGGTCCAGTAGCACACTCTCTTCTTCCTTCATCTCCATTTTAATTTCCACCCCTTTGCTTTCATTGTAGTTATATGTGACGAAAGATTCCTCTATGTCTCTATCAATACCCTCTAAATGTATTATGTCTAAGGGGAAATGTGACAAATTCACTAATGGTTGTGTTTGAGATCTCACTATTTGGAATGCTGTATCCATAACCTGTAAGTAAATTAAAGATATTTATCTATACTTATAATAAATCTGTAGGGAGGTCAATTCTGTACATGACATATATTTCCAAAACAACTATCAGGGGGTGATTAGTGATTGATACTGATGCCAAAAATGGAATCAGTAAAATTTTTGTCTGTCTGTCTGTATGTTCGTTATAGAAACCCTTGATAGTTATTTTGGAAATATATTTCATGTACAGAATTGACCTCTCTACAGATTTATTATAAGTATAGATAATAGAATATAAATAAAATAAAAAAAAACAACAACTTTATTCTTACATTGGGAAAGTTTTCCAGCAATATCTGATTGCTTTGAACGTTCTGAATGAAAAGCTCGGTGTGTTGTGCTATCCGTTTACACAGGTGACACAAACATATACTGTCCATCTGAAAATTTTATGTACAAATGTATTAAATATATAACAAATTCAAGAGAATACAAATATTTTTAAATTGTGAGGATTTACTCCTTTTTAAAAATTTTAATTGTGATTATCATGGGACTAACGGAAAAGTAAGCTGTTTTGATTAGAAAAAGAGAAATGTAAATTGACTTTTAATTCGCAAAGGCATTGTGTAACATAAAATAAAATTGGCTGTATGGTCTAGTTACCATTGCCTGTCATCATAGTAAAATGAAAAACTAACAATATTAATATGAGAACCTCCTGCTATTTTTTCCTCAATATCTAATTATTGAATATTGAAGATTGTGATCAAATGAGGTAGTCATTAATTTTCGTACATTTTAATTATTAAGAGATTAATATTTTATTTTACTTTATAATGTACCAGTGACTTTCATAATTTTGTTTGGTTATTAAAACCCTGTCTTTTTCTAATTCAATGTGGCTTCATTGAATGAACGTGAAGATTAGCTATAGAATAGCACAAACGAAATTTGCCTTAACCTCTTAAGGGTATCCACTAACCCATATTTAATACATTATTTTTGTAGTTGGCTAAAGAATAAAAAATTACAACTTTAACACTGTCTATTCAGTTGATGAAGTGGTTGCTAGTTTTAAGACAATTAATTATACAAAAGTATCAAATATAATAAATACCTGAAGTACAACTTTTAATGTTTCATTTTGCAAATTATAACTTCCTAATAGAACTTCATCACTTCTCGATAAACAGCCTAAACAGCACTGTGTTTTTGTAGATTCTGCCATGTTTCTTATTAAATTGAACTCAACTATTTCAATTTAAATATCTGCCACCAATTTTGATTAGTGTTTCTGCCAACATCATGGTTAGGAAGACACAGTGAAATAATCTTATTTCTGTGGTTCTTGAATCTGGCTGGTAATGAACAATATGGCTTGATGTTGAGATTGCATGCTAAAAATGAATACAATACATGAGTGTTAGTACAAATAAGGGAAAAATAAACAAGTGTTAGTATGGGTAACATTAATAACTAAGGAACAACACTTGTAAGAGGGAGAACATAAAAGGCCAATGACCTTAGGGAGTCTATTATAATTTCAGAATATAACTAATGAAGTATAAACTAACTTTAAAAATATGGAATATTGATAGGACGGGTATCTCATAGGGTAGCAGGGCACACAGTGGGACTGACAGTTTTGAAAAGTTAAAAAAAAGAGTTTGCTGGTGATAGTAGGTTGAATATTACCATAATTTTTTCCTTTTACTACACATGTAATTTGCCAAATATGCTATCTCTTAAACATTTGTGTTTTTGCCTGATAGCATAAGTCACAAGAGTTACATCCAGTTATTGTTGCCGAACAAGCCTATGAATCAACAGCCTCATTATGTACAATACTCGAGTGACTAGGGATCCAAGCAAGGGCCACCTCAATTCCAGCACAGTGGCATTTATAGAGTGCTTCGCAAATTTAGAAGGAGACAGGGAAGGAATTTTTGGAATGGAACGGGAGCTGCAAGATATCTTGATGTCTACTCAGTGAATCTGACAATATTAAAGATCTTTGGATTTTACGTGATTCAATGTATAGAACAGCTTTCAGAATAAACCAATGCCTCTCTTGTAAATATGGAAGTTAAAGGCCTTAAAATTAAGGAGGTATCCATACTGAGAATCCAACAGTATCATCATCTGATGTTTTAGATGCATCTGTGAAAAACAGTGTCCATTCTTTAAAATGTTCCTCAACAACTTTATTACATTCTTGATTGACTGAAGGGGAATGTTTTTGTATAACAAAATTTAAAATAATCTTATATTTTTATTAAATATTAAAGAATCAATGTTAGATTAGAGAAGATTTCATAGCGCCTAGGATAATGCGTAGACTTCTAACTTGGAGTGTGTCAAACATTGCAAGAGCCATTTTGTTACAGGGCTCTAAAAGAAAACAAGCATATTCAAAATGACTCCTAATTATGGCATTATATAAAAGTTTTTGACTATAAGGGTATGAGCCCTAAATTCCAGAGAGGGTTTTTAACACATTAATACTGTTTTTACACTTGTCAGATATGTAGGAAAGACGATGAAGGCCTGTAAGTCTGGAAGCAATGATCATACCAAGAAATTTTACCTTGTCTTTAATCTTGATTATTTCACCATTAAGGGATAAATGGATAGACAATAATAAAAATTCACAATCACAAAAATAAAAACTATTATTTTTTTCTTTGAAAGATATGTCAATTTGATTGTCAATGTCGTGTTATGTCAAATTTAAAGTAAAAAATGTCAGATATTATCCTTAATGTGTTAGATACTATCCTTAATCTATGATCAAACCAAGTTAAAGGTAAAATTCAACAAACTGATCTCTGTAGACAATTATTATGCTATAAAATTGCACGGAGAAAAAACATATATCCGATTTCTTTAAAAAACTAATGAAGTCATATCATAGTATAACATAGTATTTAATATCCCACTAGATCCAATTTGATATTTTTCAACTCTTATCGAATCTCTAGCAAACAAATATTTTCCAATTATTTAATTTACAAATAAATTCCATATTTAAAACTAAATACTTTTAAATTGATAGCATCATTAGTTATTAAGATACAGGATTATAACAAACGGACAAATGAAGTGGTAAAAGAACCCTTATTTTAATTTTAGTACTTGCAGTATATTACGCATTTAAATTAAGAAGAATAGGTTTTTAATAAATAAAAATTGAATGACAAACTCACTAACACATAAATTTATGTTAACGAAAGCTCAGTGATGGAAGATATGTGAAAATAAAATAGAATTATTTGGTTCATTGTAACAAATAATTCATAATAAATTAATCAAGTGCGACTGCATTGATTTTTGTGTAACATATATAAAAATATCAACATTTTATGATCAACCTCATCATTATTGATGATGATGATGAAATTTTACCTAATGCATAAGCTAATGTTTAATCGTCATATCGTACTGCACTCGTAGCAGGTAGAGTTTTTTGATACAAATAACGATGGCAAACAAGCTTACAACCCGTCTGATAATTAACGGTCACTAGCCTATGGACGCCTTCAATACTATAGGTGCCACATTCCCGTTGTCGAAAAAAACCCTTATATATGGTATAAGACCCTTTTTGAAGAACACCATACTGCATATACATAGGTACTGTATAATTAAGATATACATATGCAAATGTGTAAGTCTAGTCTATTTTATACAGTACTATCATACCTACTTGTACAACAATTAGTCCATTACCCTAAGGTTGTCTTGAAAAGATTGCTCTCAGCAATAACACCGCCTTACTGTACTTATACAACCATATCGTTATGTTTGTAAATTGTCTTGCTTGTATTCTAACAAGTATTTTTAGCTATGATATGATATGATGATGACGATGACGTAGTCAGTCTTAAAAATAGATAAGTATTGGTCTATTTTTCTTCTATTTAATAATGCACCGCCTACATATTTCTCGGTTTGCCCAATAGTTGACTGATAGAGAACACCGTCCGGTGTTAAGTCCGCCATATGTACATAGAATTTTACTGTGCATTAAAGTTTAAATAAATAAATAAATGCGCATAGTTTTTATAGATTCTTGTTAAATGTTAAAAATGTAAATTGTCTCTTAAAAAACTTGAACGTGACGGATATGAGTGGGCTATATGGCACTGCCCTAGTTCACGCCCTTGGAGCCCTGCAGGAACTAAATCGCGCTTCCTATCGTACGTCAGTAATTGTTTCCTATTTCGCTTTAGGTGTGAACTGCGCTGCAGTACGAACGTGTGGAAGGTAAGGGGGACGGGGGCATGGACATGTAAAGATATGTCTCGAGATATATTATTTTTGTACGCATAGACTTCAAAAGTAGGAAAACCAACGAAACATACCACTTCTAGATGGCGTAACAAGATAAAACCTGATAAAACACATCATGTTTTAAGTTAAGAATACTATTGGGAAAACTACAACAAATTTGGCGCTATAGTTTTTGGGTGCGTGATAAACATACAGACAGAATGACAAACATTTTAAAAAATATTGTTTTACCTTCTATGGCCTTTATTGAGATCCCTCGTTTAATTTTTTTTAATATCTTCTAAGTACAGATATCATATCGTAAGATGTTACTATCGTAACAAGCAAGCCCGTCAGATGGTAAACGGTTATATGTATGGCATGTGACAGTAAAACTAGATAAAAGCAAATTATTTTGATTTGAAAACTAAACTACTGAACCGATTTTCACGAAATTCCTATAGAACCAATATGTAGTAAGTAGGAACATCCTTTCAGACAAAAAAAAGAATTTTTCAAATTCGTTTAGATTTTATGCAGTTATAAGGTAACAAACATAAAAAAATACAACTGAATTGAGAGCCTTCTTTTTGAAGTCGCTTGAAAATAAATTTGTAATGAAAAATAATACTAAATAGACTCTTTTCTTTCAGTGGTGAGCATGGTGGTGATTAAATATGACAATTTTAGGGAATAATTTTATTTATAATTTGTTTGGGTTTGCGTTAGCTTTCAGATGTTTGCTACTTGGTTCTTTATAATCAGGGGAACTTAAATTGGTGATTAGAAGATTGATGTGACTGTAAAAAAAATAGATATTGTAAAAAATATTATGAACTATATCTCATGATATATCCTCGCGTCTGTTCTCATGTGTGCGACTAGGCCGGAACGCGTGATAACCGCGCGCTCCCCCCCGGATGCCGCCAGCGATCCCGTGGGACCGCACCGCACCTCCCCGCACTTCGTCACTGACATGACTATCAGGTGACGGTACACCTGTGTGTTACGAGATTGTAATGGAGAATTGAGAGCGGTCAAGTGCATATTCGGAAGACAAAAACTTAGGAACATCCTTTTAAGTGAGGTTGGGTAATTTGGCGGGAAATTACCCTCGCCATTTTGTTGATTACTTTTTTTACACAAGACCATAGATAAAGAAAAGTCCTTGAAATTTTTTTCGTATAAGCGTAATAGTTGTAATACATACGTGTGTATTACTTATTTTTATGTTTTTTTGCTATTTCTATTTCAGAACGTTCTGAACTGCGTATCGTTTGATATCTATTTTGCTTGTCCTTTTTTAAAGTTTGCTGCTAATTGATTTCAGTGGAAGTAATTTCGATCTTCGATATTCATTATCTACTCAGGATATCGGCATAAGATAAAAAAAAAACTTATCTGATCTTTAAAACACTATCACTAAGTTATTAGATATTCCTTAGACATTTGCTTACTTGCTCTGTGAGCAAAACGAAGGCATATACATAGCTAAGATAGTTGAGGACTTTATTAATTGTGGGATCGATATGCTTTTCTAAATAGTATAAAACAAAGTCATTGTTTATGTCTGTTTGTTTTATCGCTTATTTCTTCTAAAATATGCAACGGATTGATAAACTCGTAAATAGGATTTACTGTCATTTAAATAATTTTACCAAAAGTTTGCATCTATAATATATAAACTAAACTTTTTAAAATACGTAAATAAATTTAATGTATTTTTTTTTATAATAAGTGTGGATACACGTATTATAAAAAAAAAATACGACATACGGATGTACGACGCGGAAGTGGATAGGCAGCACATGATAATAATGATGACACTATTGAAGATAAATACTAACTTTTTTATTCATAAAAAATAAAATCTTTTAGAAACCTATTTTAACTATTTTCTTTAATAGAGCGTGTATTGTCACTTTTTTTTTCAATCTTAGAATTTGTAAATTAAATGCATGCAGTGATCGTTTACCGTCAGACAGTCTATACTCTATATGCTTGTTTACTATCTATGTGTTATAGAATAAATATTTAAGAAAGAGACAAAACAGTTCAATAGGTAAAATAGGTTTATGACAGCTTTGACGTTTTTATGAATAAGGGGGTGACTTTGCTTATATTGCTCGTTTAGTTATCTATACGATGTGACATGTCTATGTACTTAAATTAAAATAATCATTGGCGTATTTAAGATTATGTTCTAGGGAAAGACTCATATGCAGACATGTTGTTGCAAAGCTTGGCTCGAATCCTGAGGTGAGCACCGGACGATTCTAGGGTGAGCATTATAGCATGGCAACTACTGACAAAAGTTGAGAGAGGCCGTATAGATTAATACTAGTATCTGTGTATCTTATTTTCTACGTTGATCATGGACTAAAGATTTTGGAACTTGTTTTTAATGCATTGGCCATAATATCACGTCATAGATAAGTAAAATAAAAAAGTTACAACAGTCAAAATGGCGAAGGCATTTTCCCGCCAAATTACCTACCATCATTTAAAAGGATGGTCTTTTAAGGGTTTTCTTTCTTAGAATGTTTAATAATATTAAAGGTTCGAAATATTTAATATAATTTGTTTATGTATCTAAACAACGTTTAGATAGTTACTAATCCTTCTTTGCATAATGGTGTAAATTTCTATCATAACATTGAATGCCCAAAAATTATTTAAAAAAACAAGTTCACTTTAAGTTGATCGTGTCTGGATACCTTTTTAATGTCTATTGTAAAAAAAAAATAGCTGTCAAATTTATTTTTTAACCAGTTTTTCTTTAATTTTGAACATGAATTATATTACCTTGATTTATTTCACCAATAAAAAAAATCATGCAAAGAAGGGTTAAATGCAGATAACAGATTCAAAAATTGTTTAAACTATTCGTTAGGAGAGATAAGACGTTATTTAAAGAGTCCTCACACAGATGATGCATCGAAAATATCGCATTTACTTACTAGTTTGGTAGTCATTATTTACATAATGTGTATTTCTACTGATGTTAATACAATGTGATTAGCACAGACAAAGAATAAGACATGTTTTAATGAATCGATTTTAAGAAAAATGCAACTTGAAGTTTAAAAGTCTATAAAAATTCTAAAATTATTGATAATAAAGTTGCATACTTCTATAACTTTAACTTAGAATTAATAATGATTTTTTAAAACATTTTTTGTTAAAATTACAATTTTTGGTTTGAAAATAAAGTAAATTAAATATAATAATATATAAGTATAATCTTTGCCCGCGCCGTTATCCTGTACCCTTAATTTGGTGTTAAAGCTTATAATATTGTACACCAAGATCATTTTGAGGTAAACAGAGAGACCTTTCTACAGAATCCTACATCTTTAATTTCCATAAAGCCAAATGTAAAACGCTAGTAAAATGTACATATCTCCCCTTAACCG